TAGCTTTTGGTTATTATGGGGATTAAATATACTATCTTCACATAGTAACAACCCCTTTGAGTCCAACAGCAACAAATTCAGCCACACAAAAGCTTGCTTCTTCATAATTCAGCCATTCTCTGCTTTTCCTTATTGTCACAGGTTGTATCTACATAGTTAGTCACGTTAACATAGATTTAGGCTTTTGTCTCTTGAGTCTTAGAGAAGAATAAAAAGTCAATGGAACTAAAATTACAGTTCTGTATTTGCTCTCATCAATTCCCCTTTCCTGGAAAATGTCTTCCTATTGTTTCCCAGTTACTATCTGACAGTGGCCTTTAATTTCAACCCAAAGGGCTCTGAGGGGAACCAGTGGTGATGGATCCCTTTACCTTTTATCTGGGAATGTTTTAATTTTCCCCTCTTGTTTAAGATGCCAGGTAAACTATAGAGTTTATGCAGGGGAGACAGGGAAGCGTGGCAACAGCTTTAGAAACCACAGCAGTGTTTTCTGTTGGGAAGGGGATTGGATTCAACCCTTTCCTATTTTAAACTCTTTAAATACATTGTCCCACTGCATTCTGCCGTCGGGTGTTATGCTGGAAGCTGGTAACAGCGTTAGTGAATGTAGACAGTTGCTTTTCCCATCCTGCTTCAAATGTACTGCTTCACAATTTCAGTTAAGTATTTGTTGTGTAGACACACAATTGATTTTTGTAAGCCAATCTTATATTCTGTCACCTGTTAAGACCAGGTAATTCGGTATAGTCCTTGGAATTGTTTTATATAGTTATAATCATTGTGAACAGAAACAGCTTAATTGATTCCTTGTCAACATCTTTTTCTTTCTTTTTTTCTCCTCATCTCTCTAAGACTTCTGGTACAGAATTAGAGTGGAGAGAGCCAGCGGTTTGCTCTTGATCCCAAGGGGGAAAACGTCGAGTCTTGTTAGCAAGTGCTGTGCAGGCTGTGGGCTTTCTGTAGATGCCCTTTACAGGTGGACAAAGTTTCCTCAGCAAAGGATTGCTGAGAGTTGCCTGGGGGAGCGAGTGGAGGAAGACGCATGTCCTTAACCCTGGCATTTGAGAGGCAGAGGCAGGCCTGGGCTGCCTGATGCTGGCACTGGCAATCAGTGCTGAGTCATTTCTCCAGCCCTCAAGTGCTCTTGATAAAAAGCTGTTTGGCTATTTTTGGATAGAATGTTCTATACATGTCAGTTAGGTCGTATAGATTGCATGCATTGATCAGATCTTCTGCATTATTACTGAGTAGTTATTGCAAATGTTTCTGTTGTTTACTGAGAGGAATTACAGCTGTGAACATATCTGTTTCTTTTAATTCCTTTAGTTATTTTTGTTTTTGTTTTTATAGCTTGAGCCCAGGGCATTAGTGCACAATAAACATGGCTGCTACTCCTGAGCTATATCCCCAGCTGTTTTTGATTTATATATTTTTGAAGTGATATTGACAGTATTGATACATGGATAAAAACTTAGGATTGTTGTTTTCTTCTTGAAAAGACTCTTTTATTGTTGGATAATATTCTTATGTATCTTTTGTAATATTCCTTGTTCTGAGTCTAATATCACCATTTTAGTTTTACTTCGATTGATTGGTGTTTGCATGGTACATGTTGTCTTTCCATACTTAAATACTTTTCCATTTAAATTGTTTTGTGTCTGTGTGTGATGTGTGTATGTGTCACAGCATGGATGCGAGGTCAGAGGACAACTTGTAAGAATAGGTTCTCGCCTTCTACAGTGTAGGCCCCAGGGATTAAGTTCAAGTTGTCAGGCTTGGCAGCAAGCCCCTGGACCCACGGAGCCATCTCAGCAGCCCACACCTTAGATACTTTTAACCGATCTGCACGATATTTAAAGTGGTTTCTTATACACGGGATAGTATCGGGTGTTGCTAGCTTGGTCCAGCCTTATGGCTTTGTAACTGGTGCATTTAGACCATTTATACCTGGTGTAGTTATTAAACTGCTTGCTGGTTGCTTGTGTTCTTTCTTTTTTCTGCATACGTCTGATTTTTCCTTTGTCTGTGTTGATTGTACTGATGACTCCTTCACGTGGAATTTCTACTCTGATGTTTTTTATTTTTAGAATTTCCACTTGACTCATATTTCCATATGTCCAAGGAAATTTCCATGCGAGGACCATGTTATTCACTTTGCCCATGTTTCCCATGGGATTGCCTAACGTCAATCATAGTCTGATTCTGACATCCCTGTCTGATTCTCCTAGTTGGCTCTCCTGCCTATAGTTGGCCTTTCTTGTTATTTTTGTTTTCCTGTTATTTTTTATTTTGACTGATGGTCAGACATCTTGTATAGACAAGGAGAGACTCAGATACATAGTATCTGCACTTGGAGATGGCCGTCATTCTTTTCACAGAGAGATGTATTTATACATTCCACACAACCAAAGGTCTTTTGTCCTTCAGTGTCCTGTACCCCAGGACAGATTTTTTTAATGGAATCAAGCAAAGCTGTGATGTGATAGTTCGTTTGGCTTCTGCTCTTTGATAGTATGGCAGTGCTATTCTTTTTAGCATTTTTATCGTAAGTGACAGCGGCCATTTTTTTGTCCATGAATAAACATTATCTTGTTTCTATAATTTAGACTTATTTATAGTTCAGTCACACCATAGCCATTCATTTCTGCATAAGGGATGCACCTTCACTCCATCTGTGAAGGCAGTCTGTTTCCAATGTTATAAAAGTTAATTGCATGTAAACTAATTACTTGTATGTTTATTAATGCTAAATCTTCAATGTAAGGTTATTTTTAAAGAGGACTTTGTGAGGATTCATTGTAGAGAGTATTTATATGGGATATGTATCCCAGAAGCTTAGCTATCCACTCATAAATAAGTTGAGTATTTCCTGTGTTAAAGTAGTATCTTAAAATGATACATCAAGGTGTATAATTGTGTTGCCTGAACCATCACAAACACAGGAGTACTAAGAAAGTATGTTTGTTCAAACCATAACAAAGCTTCTTGGGCCTAGCTCCAGTGATCTTGGAGATTCCAACAGTTTCTTAGGCTGATATGATTTGAGATCTGCTAGCTGTCTTTTCTGTGCCCTTGATCTGTCCTTGTGCACCTAGTCTTGAGAGCCAGCACAGTCCATTGTTAATAACGTGTGTCCCTGTCCCCATCCTTCCCAGACAGCCAGCACGGCCTTGTGCTGCCATGCAGAATCTAGAGCTCATTACCAAGGTTTTGTGTTTGAGACAGTGACCTTGAACTCACATGATCCTCCTGCCTTAGCCTCCAGAGTGCTGGTATTAGCACCAGATCTGGACTCCCATTAGTTTTTAAATGATTTTAATTTATTTTTTAGTCATTAAAATAAATGATTAAATTCACATAAAGTCCTTTTAATGAGGAAAAAAATGAATGTTTATGTTAATCACCTTCACAAAAGAGAGGAATCTTGAAAAATCACTTATCATGTACAACTCTGTTCATATCAGGCGCATGTCTCTTAGAAACATGGTACACATTCAAAGACCTTGGCTGAGTGTTTTCATCTGAGGTTTTGTCCATAATGCATATTCCCTTTTTATAATACACACACACACACACACACACACACACACACACACACACACACACACACTTTGATTAGTTTCTTAAGGGGCTGATTTTGTCAAAAAGGATAAGAACTGTGCTGTAAATTCTGTGGTATTTATGGTTACATAAAGTACCTCTTTTTATTAAGAAGCCTGGAGCTTTGGGGAGCTCTGGCCTACTCATGACCGACTTGAAGTTTTGGGGAGCTCGAGCCCACCAGTGACAGACTTGACGTTTCGGGGAGCTCTAGCCCACCCGGGACAGATTAATGAGAGTCCATATGCTGCATTGGTGGTGAACCCTCTGTAATCAAGCTTGGGCTTCAATCCCAGTTCACTCTTTGCTGCCTTTATGGTCTTGTAAGCCATAGTGTCTCATCTCAGTATGTTACAATTAGATTTAAATTTGAAAATGCATATAAAATATTTACCAGATGCTTGTAAGCTCTGTTTGAGAGAGAGAATGATGAAAGTAAGTTATCTATATAGCCAGGGTTAATAATTAAATTACTTCCACCATCACTATCCATTTCCAGAAGGTTTTCATCATCTTGAAGAGAAGCATTAAATGATGCCTGTGGTGGTGTGAATGAAAATGGCCCTACAGGCCCATAGGGAGTGTCACTATTAGGAGGTGTGGCCTCGTTGGAGTAGGTGTGGCTGTGTTGGAGGAAGTGTGTCACTGGGGGCAGGTTTTGAGGTTTCAGATGCTCAAGCCAGGCCCAGTGACTCACTCTCTTCCTACTACCTGCCGATCTGGATAAAGAACTCTCAAGCTACCTTTCTACAGCAACATGTCTGCCTGTGTGCTGCCATGATGATAATGGACTGAACCTCTGAACTATAGGTCAGCCCCAATTAAATGTTTCCTTATGAGAGTTGCCGTGGTCATTGTGTCTCTTCACAGCAGTAGAAACCCTAACTAAGACAGTTGCCCCCACACCCCATCTCTCTCTTCCTCCCACACCTTGGTAGTCCTCATAATACTTCCATCTCCATGAACATTTCTGTAACAGATGCCTCTGGTGAAGTGAAATAATATAGCTATTCTGTGTTAGCTTCTTTGACCTATATAGTCTTTGCCATTTTAATCAAGTTAAAATTCAGTGGGTGCAGGCTATCTAAGGGGATATATACATATATATATATAATATATATTATATATATATGGATATATGGTGGCAAATATTATGTGAAAGCAGTGAGCTCATTTGGTGCCAGCGTATAGTAATATGTTTACTTAACTTGTAACCGAACAATCATTCTTGTTAGAAATGCTAAAGATATCCCAGAATTGCAAGTTTAGAGACTGATCTTAGAAGGCAAAGATACATTTAAATGGCCACTCGGGTGTTTGCCAGTCACTGACCATTCAGATTCAGTGTTTTAATGCCCTGCTTGACCTGAAGAACTCAACAGCGCCTCTTCTTTTTACAGAATTCTACTTCCGAGAGGGACCTGAATATTCAGGTAACTGACGATGATATTAACGAAATAATTCAAATAGATGGAACTGATGATAACTCGTCCACTGAAGAAGTGGGAAGCATAAGAGACGGAGACGAGAATGAGTTCCCAGGGATCTCGGACGCAGGCGACCTTAAGGTGCTGGAGGAAGAAGCTGACAGTGTGTCCAATGAAGATTCCACGGCCAACAGCAGTGACAACGAAGACCACCAAATAGACACCATGGAAGAGGTGAGGCGCGCACCTGAGCTGAGGCGCTCACCTGAGCCGAGACTCGGTGTGTTAACCGTGAGGTTTGCGCTTTCGTGTGCTTCACAGCCCATGCAATTCTAATTAAGATTGACCTCATCTTCAGCCTTTCAAAATCCGTGATTTGTATGCAGGGCCTTAACATTTCCACCTTAAACTGTGCTTTCACCTGCTGGGACGTGATTAGGAACTGGTTTCATATTTGTTGCTTTTAAGTAGACATAGTAGGAGGCTGAGGAGAGACAGCTTTTGTCCTCTTTCTAATAAATAAGGTGGCATTTGAGGGGAATGTGGTGACTAAGTTGGTGAGGGCTGTTGACTCTCACTTGCGGCTGCCTTCAGGTATCTGCCTGTGGTAGTGCCTTCTCTGAGTCACCATCTTTAACAGTCGCAGCGTCCTGTGGGTCTCATTGCGACTTGTCATTTCATAGATGAGAAAACTGAGATACAGGGAATTCTGATCTTTTGCCCAAGGTCGATCATGTAATTATTAAGTGGTCACGCTGGAATTCAAAGCCAGGTTATTTGACTTTGAAGCAAAAATACTATTCTGTCTCTTCAGGTCCCTTTACTCCTATGTCTTTCTATCTTTGAAAAAAATTTGAAGCATCATGAAATCCCTTAATGTGATCATCTTTCATCTTTAGGATCCTCTAAATTCCGGAGATGATGTCAGCGAGCAGGATGTGCCAGACCTGTTTGACACAGATAATGTGATTGTCTGTCAGTATGATAAGGTACTGTGCTCACCTTTTGGACTTGGACTTTATTAATTGAACTCATACTGGAAGGTATATAAAGTAGTATGAAATATGATGGCGAGTTCCAGTTCGCAGTCAAGTGGCTCATAGAACAGCTGTTCAGTCCTGTGTGTGTGTGCGTGTACATCATGTGCACACTTGTGTGGGTGCACACGTGTGTGTATGGGTGTGTATGTGCACGGAGGCCAGAGGACAACCTCTGCTATTGTTCCTTAGGTGCTTTCTACCTTGTTTTGGGAGCCAGGGTTTTTCATTAGCCTGGAGCTAACGAAGCAGGCGAGGCTGGCTGGCCGACAAGTCCCCTTGATCCGCCCATGCCTGCTGCCCCAGCACTGGGATTGCAAGTGTGCGCCGCTGTGCCCAGCTCCTTTTCATGTGGATCTGGGTCTCCAACTCAGGTCCTTACGTTTGTGTAGCAAGGCTTAAGTCTCAGTAAATGATCTGCAGCCCAATTCTGTAAAGTTGAGGGTGTAAAGTTTGGGTCTACCACTGTGCTGTATGGGACAGTGACACTTGAAAGTGATAATCATTGTCCCCCCCACCCCCACCCCTCGTGGTGGATTGAACCTAGGATGTAGCATGTGCTAGGCAAGTGCTCTGCACTAAGCCGTTAGGCTGCATCCCCAGCCTCTAAATGATAATCTGTGTCTTAAGGAGGGGACAATCTTATTCAAACACACTATTTATTACAGGATTAAACACACACACACACACACACACACACACACACACACACACACACGATAAGATGGCAGGCAAGTCAGCTGTTAGAATAGCGTGACAAGTAAATCAAATGCCGCTGACACATGAATCAAACCTTAAGCTGTGTGGCAGACAGCAAGACCTAAAAGTAGCAAGGAAATACAAGAAATCATTTGTTGTTGGAATTCTCCACGAACCCCTCATGGGTGATGTGGGCCTTTGAAATGGGGCTTGAATGATGTGTATATCGGAGAGACGGATGGAAGGCGGGCATGCAGGGTGTAGCCCGATGTAGAGCAGAGACACAAATGGATGGAGTATGTGCACGGGACAGTCTCACTAGCATTGTTTGGGATGCCCACATCCTTGCTATTGCTTGTCATGTGACATTCAGATCCTCGGCATCCTAGTGTGTATGAAGTGGATATTAATATAGTGTTTTTGAGTCATAATTTGATATACTTAAAGGAGACAGAGGAAATGCTTTTAATTGCTATAAAAATAAACTTTTCTCTACAAAATCTCCTTATTCCTTCTAACATTTTATATAGATAGAAAATGATAATTTATCAGATTTGGTCTCCATCTGCAATAAAATATAAACTCTTCAAAGGCAGGATTTTTTTTAAACATACATAACATGTCTACAGTCAGCCCTCTATACCTGAGTTTCCTCTGCAGAGTCAACTAAGGGGATCAAAAACCTTTGAAAAATTTAAGTGTTTCCTGAATATGTGCAGACTTATTTTTGGTCATTATTTCCCTAACAATTTAGTATTACTGTTATTTAAAAGCATTTGCATAGCATTAGATGTTACAAATAACCTAGAGATTATGTAAATCTTCCAGGAGGATGTGTGTAGGTTGTATGAAATACATGAAGGCATTTATATAAGGGTCCTGAGCAATCCACAGACTTGGCTCTAGTAGCTGTGGGGCCAATCATTGATACTTTGATGTGGAGTGATGGTTCTCATGGTGTGTGAATGACTTGATATATCTCCAATACTTAAGCTAGTGTTTGGTGTAACTGAGTGTCAAGGCACGGGTGTGTGGGTCCGTGGAATGAAGACTCGGAGGCATCTTAAGAATGAATATAGCCTTTCATGGCTGCAGGGGGGTCTAGCCTCAAAGGACTGAAGCCCTATCCCTTCACCTAGGGCATTTTTATTTACTCTCGATTTATAGTTTAGCCAGTTAATTTCCGTACCTTCAAAGCAACCCCAAAGGAGCTCCCAGGGACCAAATGCCAAGTGCAAATTACTTGATTTATCAGGTACCGTGGTTTTCCAGGTTTCCTGAACCAAGTTTTGCACAGGCCTTTGATCCTTGGGGACTCTGATCCTTGACTCTCAGACAAGATTCACAGAGGGTGATAAGAGAAACGAAAGGTAAGAGAAACAAAGGTGTGGTTAAACAAAGGAAGGAGTAGGGCTAGGTGCTGCTCTCTGGAGCCAGGCCAGGAGCTCAGCGGGAATGCACTACAGTTTGGCTTATAGGAACCCAAATGTTCGCTGAAGAATGAGTAAAGTATCTTGAGGAGGTCTTATATTTAGGGCCAGAATAATCCCATTTGCTATTTTATTTTATTTTATTTTTGTTTGTTTGTCTTTGTTTTTTCGAGACAGGGTTTCTCTGTGTAACTTTGCACCTTTCCTGGATCTCGCTCTGTAGACCAGGCTGGCCTCGAACTCACAGAGATCCGCCTGCCTCTGCCTCCCGAGTGCTGGGACTAAAGGCGTGCGCCACCACCGCCCGGCTCCATTTGCTATTTTAAAGAATGTAAGTGACCCCTTAGTTTACGAACGTAGTCTGGATTATTTTTCTCTCTTCAGATTCACCGAAGCAAGAACAGATGGAAATTCTACTTGAAGGATGGTGTCATGTGCTTTGGAGGGAGAGACTATGTATTTGCAAAAGCCATTGGTGAGGCTGAGTGGTAAATGCTACAAGCTCAGTACATCAGCTCTGTGAACCTACGTGGGACTGGTATATCGTATGCTGTGAACCACATTTTTGTTTTATACGTAGTCCATCAAAGAGTTGATTAACTTTTTGTTCACTATATGGAATTAAATAAATTTAATGAAATAAAATTATAGTTCAAATGCAGATACAGATATATAACCTTACATTTCTTTTGTTTTCCGGTTTGAATGGTGCCCCCTTCATTATCTCTATGTTGTGAGAGCACCATGAGATGTCACATTTAGTGATTAGAAAAGTCACCATAGCCCCACCTACAGTCCCGAATACCCCTTATCTTTTCAAAATGCAAACAAAATCCATTCAAAAGTAAGCTACGAGATGAAATGCTATATCCATCCTATTGGGTACTCATCTAACTATTTTAGGTTTGGGGTAACCACAGAGAGAAGTAAGAGTTCACCAAGTTATTTTGGATTTGGTACCCACTCACCAGCCTCAGACGATGCTGTTTAAAAACCCAGGTCTTGTGGAATTATCTGAGTCAGTGATTTTCAAGGTTTTGGCCAGGATCCACACCATGGAATGCACTTAGAATGTGAAGTCTCTTTTTGAGTGTACATGGACACACGTAACAGAAGTGCAGTAAAAGATGTCACAAATTACACGTGCCTTTGATGTGGTGGCCTTCTGCATTATCTAGTTGACTCTGATGTTTAAATAAATAACAATAATAAAAAAACTAGATAGTTTTGGCTCACAAAGGTGATTTCACTTTGTGACCATTTGTACTTTCTTAAAAGTAAGACTTATTTATTTTTAATTTTATGTGTATGTATATTTTGCCTGAATGTATGTCTGTGTATCACATTCATGCAGTTCCCACAGAGGTCAGAAGACCGCATCAGATCCCCTGAATCTGGGGTTATGTACAGTTATTAGCTGTCACATGGGTGCTGGAATCCATCCTGGGCCCTCTAGAAGAACAGGCAGTACGTTTAACTGCTGAGCTCTCTCTCCAGTTAACATTTCTTTTTAATCTGCTGACTGTCTTAGTTAGTTTCTGTTGCTATGTTAAAACACCATAATCAAAAGCAGCTTGGGGAGGAAAGAGTTTATTTTTGCGTATACTTCCATATCACAGTTCATCAATGAAGGCAGGGAAGGAACCTGGAGGCGAGCTGCTTACTGGCTTGTTCCCCATGGCTGGCTCAGCCTGAATTCTTATAGGACCCAGGACCACCAGCCCAGGGGGTTTCCCTACCTATAATGGGCTGGACCCTCCTCCATCAATTACTAAGAAATGGTCCTATAGACTTGCATGCCTACAGCCCGATCTTATGGAGGCATTTCCTCAGTTGCCTCCTCTCAGATGACTCTATCATGAATCAAGCTGACATAAAAACTAGCTAGCACATTGATGTCCATAACTTCATTGTTTAATTTAATATGGATGTGATATCCTATTCTCAGCGAGTTAATTCATGATTCTCTTTTCCATACTATTTTTGATTAACGTTTCATTCATTAATAATGTTAATGGGGTTTGGTAGGATATTTTTATTCACATTTACAGCATGCATCAATCAAACACAGCCTTCCTTTTTCCACACTCTCTTGTTGCTCTGCCCAATGTTTACTTATCACTATTCTAGTTTCAATTCAACTTTCTTTTTTTTTTTTTGGTTTTTCGAGACAGGGTTTCTCTGTGTAGCTTTGCGCCTTTCCTGGAACTCACTTGGTAGTCCAGGCTGGCCTCGAACTCACAGAGATCCGCCTGTCTCTGCCTCCCGAGTGCTGGGATTAAAGGCGTGCGCCACCACCGCCCGGCTCAACTTTCTTTTTAATAAATTATTAAAACCTTATTGTAAGGATGCAGTCATGAAATTTGCAGGTAAATGGGTGGAAAAGAAACAGTTGTCCTGAGTGAGGTAACCCAGACCTAGAAAGTCAAACATCGCATATTTTCTCTTATACGTGGATATTAAATTAAAAAGGTTTTATACAAAATATATATAAAATTTCATTTTTATTAACAGCTGAATAATATTCCATTGAGTAATTGTCCCACATTTTTCATTATCCATTCATCAGTTGATGGACATCTTAACTGTTTCAAGTTTCTGGCCATTGTGACTAGAGCAACAGTGAACACAGATGAGCAAGTACCTTTTGCTATAAGATGTGGAGTCCTTTGGGAATGTTCCCAAGAGTGGTGTAGCTTGATCTTGTGGGAGAAAAGTAATCATCAGTCTCACCCAGCTACAGGCCCTGTTGGCTACAGTAGTGACCTGCCTACAGGATACGGGCCACCTGCACCATAGTGGCGCAGATGTTAGGATAGTAACCAACCGCCTTTAGAATTGGATTTAAAGCCCATGCCATGAGATGGAACCTGTACCTGATACTGTTAGTGAGTTCAAGAAGTTCAGACTAGATAGGGCATGGGCCAAGGAGAAAACCTAATACCATTATTCTGCTAAGTGAGCACAGCAATAAAACCACTTCTAATGACATGTCACCACACCTATAGATCACCTATTAATCAGTGCAACACTCAACCCTCATCAGAGAAGTTCCTTCTTTCAGTAGATGGCAATTAACACAGAAAATGGACAGAGAATGAGAGACTTTGGAATGCTCAGTTCTGAATGGGATGCATTTATCCTCTCCAGGCTCAGGAGTCCAAGGGGAGACAGAAAGATTTTTTTTTTTTTTTTGGTTTTTCGAGACAGGGTTTCTCTGTGTAGCTTTGCGCCTTTCCTGGAACTCACTTGGTAGTCCAGGCTGGCCTCGAACTCACAGAGATCCGCCTGGCTCTGCCTCCCGAGTGCTGGGATTAAAGGCGTGCGCCACCACCGCCCGGCGAGACAGAAAGATTTTAAGAGCCAGACGTAGAAGCCTCCCAGCATTCTGGAGGCAGAGGCAGGCAGATTTCTGTGAGTTCGAGGCCAACCTGGTCTTCAAAGTGGGTTTCAGGATAGCCAGCTGGGGCTGTCACACAGAGAAATCCTGTCTTGAACAGCAGCAGCAACAACAACAAGGAGCTAGAGGTGGTGGATGACTTCAAGGAACAGTGTCTTCCAGACACAACAGGACTGATGCACACAGGAACTCACAGAGACTGTGACAGTATGCACAAGACCCGTGCAAGCTCAAACCAGACCAAAATCCCAGCACTGAGAAGGGGAAGTGGGCACAAGGTCCCACCCCAAACTGAGAAGCTATTTGCAATTGATACCTGCTGGAAGAGGAAAAATCTGTTCTCTTCAATTGAGAGACACTGGGTGTATCAACCACGGTCAGGACAGGCCCCATGCTCAGGAGTAGTTGCCTAACACAAAATGCATGCCCGTGTTTTTTAGTGGTTATTTTTTCCTTTATTTTTTGTAAGAGAGAGAAGGAGCCTGAAGTAGGGTGGGTAGGGAGGGAGGAGGATCTGGGAGGGCTGGGAGATAGGAAAGAATATGATTAAAAATATACTGTATGAAATTCTAAAATAAAAATAAACTTTATTGTAAGGAACTTATTAATAAAAATGTCACAAAGTGAAATTCAACTGTTTTTAAATTTTTTCTAGCTGGGTGATGGTGCATGCCTTTAAACCCAGCACTCATGAGGCAGATCTCTGTGAATTCAAGGCCAGCCTGGTCTGCAGTGTGAATTTCAGGGCAGCCAGCACTACACAGTGAAACCCTGTCTCGGAAAACCAAACCAACCAACCAACCAAACCTCTCCCAAACCAACTTTTCTGTGTATATGAGATATTTTTAATGCCTTTGTTTAAGATATCATGAGTCAAATCTTCCTCCACTTTCAAAGAGGTCGTTATTCCTTAAGCCCTATAAATTGAAGGAATGTACTTAAGACTTGACTGTGGTATCTGATTGCTTGCTATTTACTTCTTGTTTTTATTTGAGTGTGTTTTGGTCACATTCAGGCCCCTCCTCCAATCCTCCCAAACCTACCTCCCTTCCCTGCCCACCCACCTTTGTGTCTTCTTTTTATTTTTAGACCTACTGAGTCCAATCTGTACGTCTCGTATATTCTTGGATTTCTGGCCTCCCATCGGAGCATGGCTGACCTAACTAGGGGTCGACCTCTGAGAAAACTGACTCTGCCTGCCTCAGAAGCCGTCCGTGGCCAATGGCTCCTTGACTGGGTGGGACTTCTTGCTCACCTTCCTCCACGCTGGAATTCGGTCTGGTTCAGGCTTGCATAGGTCAGCATCGGTCATATATGTACATATGTCACATCTGCCGTGTTTTCTCATGTGCACTGCTGTGCCAGGAAAATCGTTTCCTGGCAGCCATCCATCTCCCCTGGCTCTTACAGGCTTTCTGCCTCCTCATCCACAATGATCCCTCATCCTTGGGAGGATGGCGTGTGTATGGATGCCCCATTTGTGGCTAAGCATTCTGCAGTCTACTGTTCTCTGCACCATGACCCACTGTGGGTCTCTGTTAGTTGCTGCCGATTGTAAATAGAAGCTTCTCTGATGAAGATTGAGAAATGGGTTATCTATGAGCATAATGATAAGTTTGTTTATTTAGTACTATGTCCATTTAGCAAAATAACAGTAAGTTCTCTCCTAGACCTATCACCTGTCGACCAATGTCGACCTATAGGTTCTTTGCCCTAGTAATGGTTCCAGGTAAGGGTTTCCACGTGTGGAGTAGGCCTCAAATCCAACCAGAAAGTAGTTGGTTCCTCCCGTGACATCTGTGCCACTGTAGTGCCACGGAGCAGGTTTTGCCAGGTTGGGTGTTGTAGTTCTCAGGCTTCACATCTGGGAAGGTTGATGCTGACTTTTCTCCTCCAGTAGTGAGAATGACGCCTTCCATCACTGAATGCCAGCCAGTAGTTGAAGCTTCCAGGCAAGTATCAGCTTGATAGAAATGTTCTACGTCTCACGTGTGTGGTATCTTTAGTAATAGGGTCTTCCTGTCATGTTCTGGAGGGTAGCCAAGAATTTAGACAACAATCTGTAATGCTTGGAGGCCTGTGGGCCCTTACCGGCCAATGACTCCAAAAGAGGTCATCCATTCCTGACACTGGGCTTTTATTTATTGGTGTATGGTGTCTAGTAGGGGCAACTGTTACTCCATTATAGGGCAACTGTATTTAGACTCTTTGTATATGTGTGTGTGTATGTATTTTAGAAGCTTCTGTAGTAGTAACCTCCCACATGACTTTTTCACAAGGTAGGTCGTGCTATTTATCCGTTCTGGCATTCTCTCCTTTTTCCTGCCCTCTCATCTCCAACTCTAATCCTCCCCATTCCATTATTTCCTTCTAACTCTCTATACTTCACATCCAAGGTAAGTATTTGTTGCTGCACCTTGTAGTAATTATATCACTGTACCATAATATAAGTTTTTAACTCCATAAACATTACCTTAATAAATGTCACATGCCATTTTACTGATGGAGGAGCTGTCCCTTGCGAGGCTAGAGTTCGCTGTGTTACACATCTGTGAGAGTAGCATGTGTCCTAATTCTGTCCCAGCACACTTTGAGGACTTCACAAACCTCCTCCTACTCACATCTGATAATGCTGTTAAACGTTCTTTCTGTTTCTCTGCAAGCCAAGATCTTGTTGAAATTGCACGGAATTAGTCTCTTAGGGACCCAGTACCTGACCTTCCCTGGTCCTCTTCTTTTGTTCTATTTGATGTGCAGAGCATCTCAGTAGGTGCTGAAGATGTGCAAACAGTTCCTCGCACAGCACAGACTTCACAGAGCACTGGGTTTCTAACATTAACTGACACCCTGGTGTTATCTAAGTTCTATGGGGGAACTAGTAAGTTTAGAGCAAATAGCTACAACTAGTTATGGTAAAAAGCAGGGAATTTAGCTGAGGACTTCATTGTCATTCATACTCTAACATATGTTGTCCACATAAATGTTCTCTAGGTCAACTGGGAACACCGTGACTTATAACTAGAAACCTAAACTGCAAGCAGGAAGCCTATAGTATAACTCATAGGGACAATATTAATTGAAAGGCAGCAACCCCTCCTGATTCAGGGATAGCGCATCTCAAGACCCCAGTGCATGCTTGAAATCTCAGACAGTAGCAAACCCTGGGTGTGCCACGCCTTTGTCTGCGTGTGCTTTGTGCCGCGGAGCACAAGGGTTACTCTGTTGTTCTGCCGTGGAACCTTCTTTGCATCACCACTGTTGGACTCTGTCCTGACGGTAAGTGAAGCGAAGGTTATTTGAATGTGATATTGTGGCAGAGAAACTGATAACCGAGGTGGCTGCTAAACAACCCACAGCACAGTGGGAATATGACGGACAGAACCATGATCCAGTCCTCGTATGACTGAATGTGATGGTACGAGGTTTTATACTACCATGCAGGAAAGTGATCCATCAGAAATGTGTCGATTGCTGATTTCTGGAGTTCCCCATCAAATATTTTCAGGCTGGTTGACTGTGGCTAATTGATCACCTATTTTTGAAGAGAAAACTATTTTTGTGTATATGAATATGTGTATGCGTATGCATGTACAGATGTGTGTGAGTGCATGTGCCTGAATGTGGAGGCCGGAGGTCAGCATTGGGTATCTTCCTTGGTCACTCTTACCTTAATTTTTGAGACAAGGTCTCTCCTGTGGGAGACCTGCTCCTACCTTTCCCTGGGTACTCTTGAGGAGAGGAATAAGAAAATACCAGGTGGAAAGTGAGACCTAGTTGACGAGAAGAAAGACAGAAACACAGGATAGCTTCGGGAGGACCTGGATCAAAATTCACCGGCCCAGAACTTTATTCAAAAGGGCTTTTTATAAAAATGCCAAGGGGCAAGGGAGAAGACTTAGATACAGCCAAGTGTAGACCCTTCCAAACATGGTAACCACGCTTGTGGTCAAATCACCCCCGTTCCGCAGCCCTGCTGGGTAAAGCAAGCTCAGCTTCCCTGACCCTGAGTAATTTGGGCCTCCATGCTCTCCTCCACCCTGGAGCTCACTGATTCTGCTAGATTGGCTGACCAAGGAGCTCCAGAAGTCTGTGTCTGTCCACATCTTCTCGTCAGTGCTGGGTTTCAGATACACATGACTGCTCTCTGTTTCAGTGTGGGTGCTGAGGTTCTGAACTCACGTCCTCTGGCTTGTGTGGCAAGCATTTCATCAACGGAGCCAGCTCCTCAGCCCAGAAAAAGTGATTTCTTATATGAGCCTACTTACTGAAATACTTTGTGAGAAAGATTCTTAATTTATATTTAGAATTAATGGTTAAGAAAAGTAAAGCTAAGCCCTTTGTAACAAGTGTAGTAAGCTGAGAACAAAATACCAATGTCTTTTAAAGTTATTTTTATAAGTTTAGATGGTTTATTCCAGATAGCTTAGTCCTTTTAAGTCATTTTGCAATTCACTCCTGACAATATCTAACAGTGAAAAAATACAAGAGATACAAAATTATTGAGTGTCCGACTGTTTATGATTTAGCCATGAGGGCCTGTACAGATGTAACACACATTCTAGACATGTCATACATGAAATACTTAACAAAGGCAGTTTTATATTTTAGTTACAAAAATGAACCAGTTTGGAAAATGAGGTTGTTAAATGAAAGTAGTTTATCTTCCTAACATAGGTGAACATAAAGAGGGACTCGTGTAGGTAATTAATACTCCAGTGTGGGGAGACAGAAAAGGTGATACAGAAGAATGCTCATGAAGTCTGTAGGAGATGGAGTGATGGCTCAGCGCTTCAGAGCGCTGGTTGCTCTTCCTGAGGATCAGAGTTTGATTCCCAGCACCCACACGTTGCTCAGAGCTATCTGTAACTACAGTTCCAAGGGATCTGACGCCCCCTTCTGGCCTCTGTGGGTACCAGACACGCATGTAGTACACATGTGGCACACGGACATTCATGCAGGCTAAAGAAGTCTGCAGAGAAAGACCATTGTGGGTTACATATTTATTATGTCCCTAGTTTTACACAGAGGAGGTGTCTTAACTGTAATGCTTTAGGGAAGGAATAGATCAAAGAGCGTTTGTTGAAGTAGGTAAACCGGCAGTTTGGACTCCAAAGCCAGTAGAGAGAGGACAAGGGATACATTACTCTGATGTACGAGTGGCATAGGTTTTAGCACGGAGGTGGAAGAGAACGCCTTAGGGAAGTGTAACTGGGTCAGTTTGTTTCATGAAGAAAGTAACAGAGAGGATGAGCAGATCTGAGGACAGAGTCCATATTCTCCGAGTGTTAGCCTACGAGTGGGCATGTACACTTTCCAGGTGCTGATGAGTTGCTTGGGAATTCTATGCAGGCACGTAATGAGATGAAACAGGATTTCAGGAGGGTTTGTCAGTGATGGAGAGGACTTGGAAAAGACTGGGTGTGAATACAAATTAGGTAGCTATGGCATAGTCCAGGAGTAAGTGGAGGAATGTCCTGGGATGTACGCATGGTACTAGGGATATAAGTAAAGACCTGGGTTGGAGGACAATTAAAATATAAATCTTATGGGTGGGAGGATATGGGAACAAGGGGGACGGCAAACTGTGACTTCATTTATTAAACCTTAAGTTATAATGTAGAAAATAAAGATCACTATCTGGGTAAGAGGTCATGAATTGCTTTCAGAGCATACTCTGAGTTCTCTAGTCACAAACTATTTGAATGTGTGCTGGCTTAAGAGCTGATTTACAAGGATGCGTCTGAATCTTCAATCTTCTTCTTTTACTTTTTTTTTTCTTACTAAGTTGTTTTGTTTCTGGGATTTATGAATCAGAAAGAACAATCAAGTAGTTACATAGTAGCATGCTGAGTTAGTATTCTGCTGTATCACTAAGACAGACTCTAGAATGAGCTCCAGAGAGCTCCATCTGAACCAAGTCATTCATTATGGAGCAGAAAAGCCATCCATGTGTAACACAGAAGATTTTTTTTTAACGCTTATAATCTTTGAATCATTTTCCATAATGACCTAAGAACTAAGACCAAACTGAACGTGTAGAGTCTAGTTATGGCTAGACATTTATTTAATACAATACTCAAGATATCCACCAGCAGGAGGATTCTATGGTAGAATATTAATCAGCAATGAAAAGGAATAAACAGATTCAAGCAATTAAGTGGATAAATAGCAAAAACATTATACTGAGTCCCAGAAACCTTGTGACAAAGCGTATGTATTATATAACTGCACTTATGTGACGTCTAGGACAGGAAACACTAATCTGTGGAAAACAGAGATCTGGCCATTAGCACCCCTGTGATAGGGCTGAGCCCCTCTCTAATGGTAACAGTGTGCTAATTCTTGACAGAAGCTTGGGTCACACCGGTGCATGCAATTCTCAAAACTCAAGTAGCACACTTAAGATTTGTCCATTTCTCTGCATGTAAATTATACCTAAGATGTAAATAAATACTGAATTACACTCTGGTGAATAAGAGCGCTAAGGTTCATGTGCGTGGGGTTGTACAGTATATACTTTTGTGTAAGGCTGATGTCTGCAAATTACTTCAAAATATCAAATATAAGACACATTAGCGGACAGATAAATAACAGATAATTACATAGTAGTATAAGAAAGCCATTATAGTAAATATTGCTGACTGTAAATGGTGGTGGTATATGGATGTTCACTAATAGTTCCTTCAACATTTCTATACATTTGAATGTTCATGATACAATACTGGGGAAAATTTAAGGAACTTTGAATGTATATGAATTGTTAGGTAACAAAACCTTTCTATCCAGTTTTTTTTTTTTTTGGTTTTTCGAGACAGGGTTTCTCTGTGTAGCTTTGCGCCTTTCCTGGGACTCACTTGGTAGCCCAGGCTGGCCTCGAACTCACAGAGATCCGCCTGCCTCTGCCTCCCGAGTGCTGGGATTAAAGGCGTGCGCCACCACCGCCCGGCTTCTATCCAGTTTTTATTTGTTTGTCCATCCATGAACGTATCTTATTTTTTGGTGTATTTCAAGTCAAAGTAACTCTTGGAAAACCATGATTACCAATATGGGAATCATTAAGAGGCTAGGATTTGGGAGAGCTTTGAGACCGAATCCCCTTATAGTGAATCTCTTCGTAGTTTTCAGTCCTTTTAAAAATGATAATCAGTTTTTCTCTCATGTAAGATGAACGGCATCTGCTCCATAGAGTTTTATGAAAATTCGGTTGGTGAAATTACATAGTTGGTGAAATTACATAATAAAAAATAGAAAAAATACGCTGGGTGGTGGTGGCGCACGCCTTTAATCCCAGCACTCGGGAGGCAGAGCCAGGTGGATCTCTGTGAGTTCGAGGCCAGCCTGGTCTACAGAGCAAGATCCAGGAAAGGTGCCAAAGCTACACAGAGAAACCCTGTCTCGAAAAACCAAATAAAATAAAATAATTTAAAAAACCCCAAGATGTTGGGTGTATAATGAACTTTTGATAAAAAAGTCGAAGCAGCAAACAGAAGTGCTGCAATTAGATCTTTCAGTTGTCCTAAATGTAAGTCTTAAAACTTATATTTTATAGTAAGAAAAAAATGTTTCTAACAAATATAAGATATATTTTTCAGTAAACTGCAAAGGATGGAAAATAATGTAAGTTAATCATTTTCAATATTTAAGTATCTTATTTTGCTTAGAAAGTCAAAGGCTCTAGAAATACATTTCCTTGCAGATTTAGTCAATTCAACTGGGCACATTGATTGTGTATCATTTCCAAGATCCAGAGGGAAGAGATGAGGAAGCTGAGTGGGCTGAGATGGTTTCCTGCCCACCAGGTGTTCATGATCTGCAAGCCAGACAGGTATGCAGAAATGAGCCGTCAGACGGCAAGTTAAGTGAATGGGACGTAAAGAGGAAACAGAAGTCTCCAGAACAGAGCTGTCTCGTGAAATTCCCTACAACGATGAAAACAGTTTGCATCTGTACTGTGCGGTACTAGTCACACACACGAAGCACTTGGAACGTGGCTAAGAAACTTTTATTTACCGTGTAAGGCTCATGGCTACCACACTGCCCAGTATGTCTCCAAATGTGTTTATCAAACTATTTGAGGGCAAGGACCACTTAAAATTTCCAGTCTGTTATGAACTGATACTTTGGAGATTACAACAAAAATTACAAGATTGAAGTGAAAAAGACCAAAGATGTGCAAAAATGACACCTTAGGTTTTCTTAATATTTGATTCAACACACAAAATTACTCTGTCTAAATTATTATAAAAGTTTCTAAACTCCTGAAATTTATGTCGTCAAGTTTCAGAGGGCAGTTCTGATTGCCCAGTTCCAATGACCACTGGTCATGGGCCACCCTCTGAACCAAGTGCATTTCTCCTAAAGTGCCTAAGAATAAATATTTTTCTAAGATGCATTATTTTAAAGTGACTAATTCAGATAGACTTTTTTCTTTTACATATTTAAGTACAATTCAATAGTGCGGTTACTAAATTAGCATTCTTGGTGGCAGGTCTTGTCTGGGACAGCAGAATGTTGGCAGTGCACTGTGGACAACTTCAGGGCAGCTTGGGAAGGCTTTCTAGATCCCGGGAAGCTGTTTTTGCAGTTGGAGGTATATGCAGAAAATTCCTTCCTTCTGTAAAGTTCAGCCCGGTGTTTACAGCAGCCAAATTTGCTCAGCAGCAGAAAGAAATCTCTTTGAAATGCCTTCGTGAAAATTGCATACAGAAATGGATTGGCACAAGAATTGACAGGATAAAAAAGGACCAGTAAAACTTTCGAGTTGGTGACAGTGATTAGGGGCACTTTGAAGGCAGCAGAGATGGCAAAAAAAGAGATCGGTGCCATGCACATAAAGTCCGTGAAGATGAGGATGGCCATCTTCTTGGCAATCTTCGTATCCTTGTTAGTAGCCACCAGCTCTGGATTTTGAACTGCAAAGTAAATCCTAATGTAGCAAGCACAGATGATGATGAAGGCCACCACATTGAGGATCAAGATGGATAATATGTAGACTTGTGAGAGAGTAGATTCTACATCCATGGGGAGGCAGATGCTGACCTTCCTGTAATTGCTGACACCCACAAGGGGCAGCGCGGCAATCAGCGTAGAAAAGAGCCACCCTCCCAGCATAATTGGGATGGCATGTCTCAGTCGCAGCTTCTGGTCCAGCTGGACAGCGTAGGTGATGGTGTGCCACCGTTCTAGAGTGATGACTGTAAGGGTGTAGACAGAAAGTTCGCTTGCGAACACCGTGAAGAAGCCAGCGGCGCTGCAGCCGCTCCCGGTCTGCCATTCTATGGCGTGGTTGTAGTACTGGCCTTTGGTCTGGGAGTCCACGGAGGCAATGAGCAGCAGATAGAGCCCCATGCAAAAGTCTGCGAAGGAGAGATTGCACATGAGGAAACGGGGCACTGTCAGTTTGTAACGGCTTGTCAGGAGGACGAAGAGGACGGTCAGGTTGCCAACGATGGCTAGGATATTAATCAGCCAAATCAGGACCCTCAGGAAGGCATAGCCCATGATATCTTCACAGGGATTAAAAGCATCTGGTTCTGGAATGCATTGGAGTGTCTTGGGTGTGCAGAAGCCGTAATCGTAGTCCCAGCCACTCAGTTCGCTCTCCTCAAAAATGGCGGAATAACTGTAAGACAAACAATGGCTTGAAGGAAACAAGAGGTTTCCTAGACTTCTGAGTATTAAAAGAAATTCAAGAATCATCCTTAGTGGGCTTTTAGAGCCTAAGAAGCAAAAGAAAACAAATCCATCACGGCCTTAGCCTTACATTTACTTGTTAAATTATCTCATTTGATGGAATTCTTTCAAAAGAAAATGAAAAGCCATCTAGACTTTATAATATATATCTATTTAACATGCTGATGCAAAGACTTAATGAAGCTGTTTACAAGGGATGATTTTCTTTAGAAAACAAGTTAGAGACATAATATATACATGCTAAATTTAAAAGAATCCTTTCTTGGCATTTTCTTATCTATTTATCTCATTTAGTTGCTAACCAAATTGCTAGCAAGCTGTTTGCAGTAGCACACAGTGGGATTGGAAGACTTGTAGCATTAAGAGTCATCAGCTACCGGGGACTTGTTTGCATTGAAGTCCCTGGTTAATCCAGTGTTCCAAGTGGGAACTAGAAAACAACAGCAGATTACTAGAAATTTAGGACTAGGGGAAGAAGAGCATGGACAAACAGTAAGAAGGATGAAGTCCAGCACTCCTTAGGGTGTGAATCTATTGCTGATGAAGTCCCCCAACCCCGCTGAGATTCTCCTTAGGGTATAAGTCTGTTGCTGGTGACACACCCCAGAGATTCCTGGGCTCACATCCACACTCTCTCAAAGGGGCACTTCTATTGATTTTTTTTTTCTTGACACCTTTATTCAGTTTTAGCTCTTTCCATTCCAGCCTCCTGGAATGGCCTTTCCTAAACAGAAGTCTGAATTCTACTTATCTAACTCAGCCCTTCTGCATGTCCCCATCATCTATGGGATAAAATGCACACTCCTTTTGTTGAGCCTCAAGGCTTCGGCCTGCTTCTGGAAATGTTCTTTCTTTTCTTCATCTCTCTGGAAAATTCTCCCTCATCGTGAGAGACAAGTTCCTCAAGGAAGGCATTCTTGGTCCTGTTCTCCAAAGAGTTTATTATCCTCCCTTTCTGCTAGAGTTGCACTTAGTTATCAAAACATATTGCCAGTAAGTAATGATGTGTGTTTATCTTGTTTAATATTCTCTTAGGTTTTTGAGATAGGATCCCATGTAGCCTAGGCTGGCCTTAAACTTGCTATATAGCTAAGGCTGGCCTTAAACTCTTGATCTTACCTCCCAAGTGTTGGATTATAGGTATGCACCATCCTTCTTGGCTGTCTCTTAATTTTGGTGTGTGTGTGTGTGTGTGTGTGTGTGTGTGTGTGTGTGTGTGTATGTAGGGCAGAGGAGAACCATGGATGCCATTCCTCCGGCAACTGTCCACCTTTGTTTGTTGAGATGGGGCCTGGAACTTACAAGCAGACTAGGCTGGCTGGCCTGTCTCTGACTCTCCAGCACTGCGAGCTTACATGACCACATTTGGCTGTCTTTCTTCTTTCTATTTCAAAATGTGGGTTCTGGGAATCAAGCTCGGATATTCATGCTTGTAAGACAAGGACTTTACCAAGATCAAGAGCTTACTTCTAAAGTCATGGTGTCTAGCAGAGTTTTGGTTCCATTCAATATTTTTTTTGTGGAGAGAATAAATCTCGACTAGGAAACCCTGGGGCGTAAGAACCTTGAGCATGTATTTGATAATGGATGTGGGCTCAGTGAGTTTTGACTTTTTTCATAAGCTGCTAATTTTGGGAGTTGGAGAAATGGGTGCCATTTTCTGCAAAGACCATTGCAAGTATGTATTTCACCTTAGAGTCTCTCTCGTTAAAAGTATCTTTCCCTCACTAGGAAGGATGAGGCTAGCTTTCTCAATACTGGCCAGTTTTCAAAGTACTAGAAGGTGCTATGTAGGCTGAGAGGAGAAAATAAGTCATCTGTGTACCCTGTGATGTACAGTAATGACCTGTGTGGAAAGATAAACCCATGGATGCAACAGTGGTTCAAATGTTAGAGGGGTAACAAACCTCTGATTGAATTTAAGGTCTACTCTACAAGAGGAAATACAAGCCGGTACTATAAATCTGGCTAGGAGCTTATGGTTGTGGGGCTTACAGGCCACAGGGGTGATCCTACTATTAGTATTTTTCTAAGTGGACACAGTATCAGACTGTCCTTTAAATTCAATCGCCTTTTGTATGTAAAATGAATAAAAAAATTCTTGATAAAAAAATCCAGTCTCCTTGCCCATAGATTAGTGCAGCTTTCAGTCTTCATTCAAGAAGTTGCTTTGTGCTGTGAATGGTGATTAATGCAGAAACGTACAATTGGTCAAAGGTCAGAGACTAAGTGTTAGTGGAGTGCTTAGCCACAAAACAGACATCTATCCACCCCCAACCCCAAGACTCAGAAGCCATCATGGAAGAGGAGATGGAAAGATTTTACGAGGCAGAGCTTGCAGAGGACCAGGATGAGCAGTGAGTGTCTTCTGGATCTTGCAGGATGGCTATCGTTCTGAACTCACAGCAGCTGTGGTTGCCTGGATAAGATCTACATAAGATCAAGGCAGTTAGTAATCCTATATGGAGTGGCAAGAAGCACATAAGCCCAGACTCCTGAGGATCTATTCAGTTACCAGCTTCTGGGGAAGGGAGAGTCAGTGTTCTTTAAGAGTGCGGCTCCTGGTGGGCCAATCATGCCTCCAGTGAACAGCCCCATACCTATGAGTGTGTGGACAGCACATACTGGACTTAGTAAGTTATTAAAAAAAGAAGAAAAGGGCATGAAGTTAGGAGAGGTGGGGAGATGGGAGGTTGATGTAGGAAGATTTCAGGGGAGGAGTGGGTGTGAATATGATCAAAACACATTATATGAAATTCCCAAAGAATTAATTTAAAATATATTTTTAAAAGTATCTTTCCCAGCCGGGCGGTGGTGGCACACAACTTTAATCCCAGCACTCGGAAGGCAGAGGCAGGTGGATCTCTGTGAGTTCAAGGCCAGCCTGGTCTACAGAGTGAGTTCCAGGAAAGGCACAAAGCTACACAGAGAAACCCTGTCTCAGAAAAAAAAAAGTATTTTTCCCTATTCTCAAAACCTTCATGTTCTATACTTGAAGTTGTACCTAATTCACTTAGTTGATGAGAATATATCTGAGGCCTTCAGTACTGGAGGGTATATGTAGATTTTTTTTTTTAAAGACATGAAAATGCTAGAGACGGGGAAGGGTTGTGGCCACACAAAGGACAGCAAGGGAACCTTATCTGTTTTATTATTAAATAACTTTAAAGCAACACACTTAGTTTTTACATCATAGACATCAATATAACTACATCCTGTTAGTTCTCCAGGAGAAGATGGTTATAACGAATTATTAAGGATTCTTCTTAATACTGGTGCTTAGAAATCATCTGATTGAATTCCTTATGTTGTTAGAAAGGAAACCAAGATTAAATAAGGTGGGGATATGCCGAGGTCCTTTGTGGGGACAGTGTCAGGATTTGGCCCTCACATCCTAAGCTTCGAAATCTTGATCATCTTTCAGTCAGTGGTTTCCAAAGTGTGGTCGGGTGGATCAATGTCTATCGGAACCACCAAGGGGCTTGTTTAAAATGCGGATCAAAATCTAGAGGCACAGAGCCCAGGAGTCTACACTCCAAGCAGGTTCTGTAGCTGCCTCCTACAAAATAGTAGCTCAAAACTGGATAAAAATATTCCAGCCATTGTTGTCGTGATTTCTTTTACTCTTCTCCTTATCAAATCACCACCTCTGTTTGAGGTGCTAATTTAAAACTTGTAAGGATTCTGAACACATGTAAGTAAGGGGTCCTGCATGTCCCTCCCTCCTCCCTCCTCCCTCCTCCCTCCTTGGTCTTTTTGCCCTACCAGGCATGTATCTGGCAGATTTTCTCCTGAGCTGGCTCCCGAGGGCAGTGTCACGCCTACTAACAAGGCAGGTTCTGGTGGCCATGTCAGGGAGTGTGAACGGACTCAGGGGCTTAGGAATCTTGGCTTAGGAGGCAGAAGCAGTGAGTGCTCCAGCAACAACCGAGAGCGAATGAGGAAATACGGGGATTTGAGGAGGGTAGTGGGGTCAGCCACAGTGGTGAGGACACTAGGTTTTCTTGGGAAGAACAGCTAAGGCTCAGGGGATGGCTTTAGAAGGACTTTCTGGTGGAGCTTTGCCTTTAGCAAAAAAGAGCTGTCCGGGGCTGGTGACAGAGCTCAGCTGGTAAGCGCTCAGCTAGTGGGCATGGGGCCCTGGAGTCAGTACCCAGCACCAAACAGACTGGATAGGAGAGTGCATGCCTGGAATCCCAGAACACGAGGAGCAGAGGTTCAAGGTAATTTTCGACTACATTGTTTGAGGCCAACCCCAGGCTATGGGAATCCCTATGTTTAAAAAATAAATGTTTCCAAGGGGAGCAATGCAACTTCAATTGTGTATTAACTCAGGTGGTTTGAAGAGTGTGAGCTACACTTTGGAGCCTTGTCCCAAAGCAGCATTACCATAGTAAACTCAAAGATGATGCTCGTTTGGGAAAGGCCAGGACAGGGTTGCTGGCGGTTGCCAAGGGTGGGTTGAGTCTGTCCCCATAACCACTCGTGGTACCCCAACAGAATGTAATTAGAAATGGTTTTCTGTTTCTGAGTATAAAGCCTCATGGCTGCAAAAGTATGCTGTGGAAGGAGACTGGGACACAAGGAGGGAAGCGTGATATTATAGGCTAGATAGTAGCAACTCAAAGGAAAGAAAGGGAGAGGTGACAGGCTGGCGTCCATCCTGCGTGATGCTGCGACAATGCCCTTCACTCTGGTTCTGAAAGTCAAGTCTCATTTCTATCACTCCCCATTGAGAAGGAAAGATGTCCCAGAAAGCATAAGTGTTGTCTAAAACCATTGTCCTCGAAAAGGTACATGTCAAACTCTGTGCTTCAAGAACATTACCGCCAAGGGTCACATGCAACTTTGAGATGACCTCAGGTCCGACCTCCCCATCACACTGAGATCGCCCCCACCGTACTCTGAGATTGGTAGGAAGGGGACATGAGGAAGTAGAAGAGATTTGCAGAGTGTCTCAGAAGGACATCTGGTTTTGTAGTCCTCCAGGGCACATGGGGGGAATGATAATAAATGTGGCTTAGGGACATGGGGGCTTGTCTTCTGAGGCATGCTCTTTTACAATTGAAGGTAAGTGAAATGCCAGGGCAGTCAGCATTTAAAGCAGGAAAAATGTTAGAATCAGTCAGTAGAATAGACATGTAGCTGCCATCTAGTGCATGGTAATGATGACATTAAGATTAATGTTAAGGGGGCCGGGGAGATGGCGCCGTTGGTAAAATGCTTTCTCCTCAAGCATGAGGACCTGAGCTGGATCCCTAGAATCCTTGTAAAAACCCCAGGACTGGGACAGTGGAGACGAGAGGGTCCCTGCAGCTCCTGGCCAGTCAGCTTAGCCTAACTGGTGAGCTCTAGGTCTCAGGGAGAGACCCTGTCTCGAAAACACAAAGTGGACGGCTCCTGAGAAATGACATTCAAGGTGCCCTCTGGCCTCCCATGGAAGCACATGTATGTGCATCCACACAAACAGGAACACACATCATGAAAGAATGATACCACACCCAGGGCCACAGGGGTCTGTCTTTGAAGGGAAGTACCTGCCTTTAGAAGCTGTGTCTGCAGTCAGTTTGCTTTTGTGGAATACGAGTGGTGACAGTCACTTCAGATGAAGCCCTTATTTAGAGTAGCCCTCGGTGACACCCAGATGTCTGAAATAAACTGCAGCTTCATATACATTAATGCATACAGTAACAACTTCGTTACACTCTTAAAAGAGACCTTTTCATTTCGTTTGACTTCTTTAAAAAAAACAGCTAAGATAACACGTACAACTCGCTGCTGCTTGCAAAGAAAAAATATTCCCCTTTTAAACTCTAGAAAAACACCTTGCAAACATCCACTCACCAAGACTTTTATCAAAAGAAAATCGCCGCCGCCAATAACAATAAGGTGCCCACTGAACAAGATGCAGCTTCCCAAGCATCTGCACGCAAATACTTACAGCGTTTCATTATTTGGTTTCTTTACTGTGCTTTCACATTGTTTGGAAAAGTTTTCAAAAATGGAAAATGAAAAATTCTGTCTGAAAGAGAAGAGGTAGAAAAAAAAAAAAAAAAAGAAAAGAAAAGAAAAACAAGCCGTTGAGCATTTGATCCTTGGACCCGATCATGTCTATTTATGTCTTACTCATCCACATTCTTTACCTAGCCCACCCTCGGTGGGTGCACCATTGTCCTGACTGAAATGCTTCCTGAGGAGAGAGTAGAGCCCCCTGCATTGTCCTTAGCCTGTCTCCAGCTTAGAGAAAATGCTTCTGAATGCTAAGTGTTTTGTGTGGGCTCAGGAGGGAGGGGGAACCCACGTAAATTTGTGGTTTTGAATCATGGGTTTTTCAGTGCTTATAAAAAGCTCCTTTTTGTGGCATATTCAAGCGTGCTCCTCACCAATTCTTCTCCCTCCCATTGGCCTTGATTAACTACTTGGCATTCATAGCTTTGAATTGTAACTGGAAGTCTTCCTGTCAGGATTCTGTGGGGCTGGGTGTGCCCGTTGTGTATTTTAGGCCTTTAGCTTTTGATATTCCCTTCTCTTCTGTCTTCCCTCGGGGAAGTTTGGCTTAGGAAAAGGGGAACATGATAAGGAGATAGAAGAAGTGGTACTTAGGGACAAGGCCTAAGGGAGGTTCAAAAATAAGGGATGAGGGTATGGGAGCTGCTGTGAGTGCCTCAATCTCCCTTGAGGAGGATGAGAGATGAGGTGGCCCGAAGTGGACATTTCTTTGTGCTCTTATTATCCAGCATCGAGGAAACAAGTCCTCGTAGGAATGATTGTGTATAAATGTAGAAAGATGGGGCATGATGTCAGAATGATTTAACCCAATGGCCTTTCAAAGACTAATCATCTTGTTATTCTAGGTACTATTATAAGTTTATAAACTTGGACAGAGTTTCTCCAACCCCGTGTGAGTATGTAGTGGGGTAGTTCTGGCTCAGTATTTGACAGAGATCCTGTAGGTATGTAGACAAGTCCAGAGTCAACAGGAACTTGGCCTTCAAATGATAATACTGCATGATAGCCATTCTGTCTTCACAGTTAACCAAGAACGTCTTAGAGAGTTCTACCCAGGCAGCCGTGTGCATCATCTACAGGGAGCCTTAGTTTGCACCAAAATCCCACAGACCCAGTTTCAACTCTCCATCTTCACTGGCCTGTAAGGCTTTGGGATTTATAGTCACAGAAGTACCTGTGAATTATTAGTGGAAGTTTCCAAGCTCAGTCAGGACAGCCTGTGAGTGATGGCATTCACACCAAGCTCAGATAGTCATAATTCCATAACCCTTTTTCTACTTAGAGGTAGTCTTTTCCGCCTTCTGGAACAAAAAGGTCTTGAACTGAATAGTCACAGGTCAGTAATTTGAGGAGTGTAAGTAGGTGACCAGAACCAGCCCTGTCCTCAGCATCATCCCTGTCTGCTGACTCTCTCTTCGACTCGCCACCTTTGGCCCCTCCTTCATTCTGCCACTCTACTGAGAGTTCCTAAAAGCAAATTTGCATATTCTCCTTTTGATGCCCTTGAAGCTCCTCATCCTCTCCCTATCTAGGGCTGATACTCAAAGCCCACCATGGCCCACCACTCCCTGGGCTTCTTCTCCTGACTCATCTTCCTCTACGTGCCTACATCTTCCTGTGCTGGATTTTTGAATGTCACTCATCTTCTAGTGTCTCTTGCCCCACGCCTTCGCACGAGTCAGTCCGTCTTGGCATGCTTTCCCCAAGCCTTCCCTGCAAGGCTCAGCAGAGGTCATCTCCCTTAGGAAGTCTCCCACGAGCCCTAGACACACCCCTACATCCCTGGAACATCCTGCCCCCTTCTCTGTTCTGTTACAACATCTGCTAACACAAGCGTTCCTACTCTTTTATGTTGCCTGTCCACTCTGTGAGGGCGGAGATGACTCTGCATCTTTTTATCTTCAAACCTGGTACCCTGGAACATGGCTGCTGCTCAGTTTAAGTCCTCTGAAGCTCAGTTAATGGGGTAGAGCTTGAGTAGAGCTTGAGCCAGGCATGGTGGCGCACGCCTTTAATCCCAGCACCCTGGAGGCGTAGGCAAGTGGATCTCTGTGAGTTTGATGCCAGCCTGGTCTATATAGTGAGCTCCAAGACAGCTAGAGCTACACAGAGTGAGATCCTCACCACCACCCACCCCTCCCCAAGTGGTGTAGATGTTTAAACACAGCAAATGTTTTTGCCTTCTCCACTGCCTCAAATCTTTAGGGAGAACCGAGTCGACATACTGAAGGCACAAAAATACAGGCTAGTTAGTTGATCAGCTATAAAAAGGTTAATTCCAAACAAAGCCAGTGTTGCTCCTGCAGAGCTTTATCTAATTAATTGATTGAGCACCTCTCTGCAGGCTGCCGTAGTGACTCTTCAGAGCACTGGTTTTTCCCCACTGGGAGCTGTGACCCAAGAGTGGGTTAGGAAAACAATAGAACACATCGAGGCTTGGGGTGAAAACAAACAAGCCTGAGACACAGGAGTGAGAGAGCAGGAAGTGTCACATGCCTCCATCACACATTTAAAAAGTTGGCCCTTGGCTTTTTCTTTCATACATGTGACACTTACTGGGTCGTGATGCGGAATGACGCCTCTGGGCCAGAGAGCTCTGGACAAAATGAAATCCTGCCCCCTTCACTCCTCTCACCCCACCGCACCCCCACCCCCAGCCTCGAGGGCAGTGAAGCAGTCAGACGCCCCCTGCTGGCCACAGAGCAGCCAGGAGCTCCTGCGCCTTTTGATTGCTCCCCAGCCAATCTGTCGGAGCAAGGTGTCTGTTCAGAAGTGGACTTTGCTTTCAGCGGGAGACAAATAGTTAAGAAACCAAACCAAACCCCAAACAAAACCAGGTAGTACTCTGACAATTTTAAATTCAAGATTAATTGGGTAAGTGATGTTTTCTGCTAAGAATTAGAACAGGCTGTTTTTTGTTTGTTTTTGTTTTTTGACACTGGGTGTTTCTATGGCTGCAGAGGTGCTTTAACTGTTTGGCAGTTGCTCAGGATGAGGGGCAGCTCATTTTCTTCCTGTCTGTCTAAAAGCCACTCCATGACTGCAGGGTTGGCTGGGAGAGCAGCAGCCCATACAGGACAGGGCGCTGTGGACCACGGGGCTGGATGTAGGTCCCAGCTTCTCCACAGCAGGTGCATTCGCCCTCGCTTTTCACTTACTCTTTCTTTGGCAAATTCCTGAAGGCGCAGCAATGGCTGGGGTAAGTCAGCGTGGCAACCAGGAGGCTGGTGAATTTTTCTCTGGAGGGCAGTGTTCTCAGTGAGTAGGATGAGGTAGCGATGAGGGTCTGAATGGACTCCAGCCCGTGGCTCGGCAGGGCCTGCAATTTGGTGGAAGAAATATCCCTGAACCGCAAAGGGGAGAAAGGCCTTTTATCGACTGATTTCACACATTTCATTCAGCAATCCTCCTCTCTGGGCTGAGAGATCCTTTCCTCCATTTTCCTTTTCCTTTAAGTCTCCATTTCAGTTACCCTCATCATGATCTGCCTTCCAAAGGACTGTTCTGGGATTTTCATCTCGGGGGTACCCCACTGTTGTATTCGAGGTTGCGTGTGACACCTTGGACCTTCCATAAGGCCACTAGAATTTCTCTCTGCTCTCTCCTTTCTACCCTGACTCCCTCCTCTCCCCCTCTTTCTGTCTACCCTGCACCCCTTCCCCCCTCCTGTCCTCTCCCAATTTTACGAAAACCGAAAACCGACTGCTTGCTTTCTAAGGTAAGCAGGCACCTGGTGACATCAACTTTTGTGTTCTGCCCTAGGGGGAAATACTCAGAGCTTTGATGCCTCGGTCTTTGATTGATCAGGCGCTGCAGGGGAGGTTCTCATAACGTGCAGGCGGACCACCCTTATTAAGAGCTGCATGTGGCATTGGCCATCATCCACCCGGGAAGCAGAGCACATGCGCTCGCTCTAATAACCAGTTGGATGTGTCTATCCACAGCAAGCAAACATCACGCCAAGCCAGCACAACTTCGGGCCTTTAAACAAAGCTCCTTGGCTTTACTAGACTCGAGGCAAAAAAATCTAAGAAAACCCCAGATGTACAAAATTTCAGGAAGAGGGCGTTGGTGGGAGTTTTAGTTTTAAAGTCCTGCTCGTCTTCTAAGTGGCTAACGCCCAAACCTTTCCGGGCAGCACATCCTCTTCAGCAGTCTGCCCCCAGGTGAGGCTCAGGCCCAGCACAAGGAGGGGTCAGAGTGATGGTGGGAAGGGTGAGTGTGAGGGGGTGGGTACAGGGTACGCGGTCCAGGTTCCTGAGGGACCCCGGAGGCAAGGGCTCTAAGACCCCTTCCTGCTTCTGTGTACCTGCTGGCTTAGGAAGCCCGTGCTCTGTTCTGCTGTAGAGTCTTATGGATAGTTAGTGATCAGGTTCGAGACTCTCCTCAGGCGTGGAGGAGGTTGCTGTTGTTTACTTTTTTGAATGGCTGCATTTAAAATTAGTGCCTCACGTGGCCGGGGAAGCCAACAGCCCTAGAATGGAACCTACTATTGTGATTTTGAGAAAAGGTCACGTTACTAAACCGCCTTCCAAGTGGGGGTGCTTTCACCCACAGTCCTGAAGTTCTCTCCGCCTTGGTTGGAGAAGCTCCTCTTTGAACGAGCCCTTGAAGCGAACCCCTGCTCATGGAGGGCTGAAGGCTCACACCTTGCACTGTTGTAGGAAGAACCCGCCTGTTGCATCTCAGCCACGGCTAGCCGAGAGCTGGGGGTGGACCAGGTCAGAATGGATTCTCTGAGTGGGTTCGAGGTGGGGGGGCCACCCGAGAGTCCACACCCTGTTTGACATTACTGGTTGAATTATGGTCCCTCAAATTTACATGTTTAAGTCTTTTTTTTTTTTTTGCTAGGAGTTAGTAATATCTTATTTGGACACAGGCTTTTTACCGAGATCAAATGAGACCATGATGGTAAGCTATAATCCACTATGCCTATATCCTAATAAAATGGGGGAAATTAAATTAACAGAGAAGCTAGACACTCAAACACACACAGCAATAGCAACAACACATGGAGACTGGAGTTATGCTGTACAACCAGAGGGGCCCTCAGCAGATGAGAGGTGAGCACAATCTTCCCTCAGAGGCACCAAACCTGCTGCTACCCCCCTACAGATATGGAGCTTCATCATAGGCAGTGACCCTTCTGGTCCTTTTCAGCTATAGATGCTGGCAGCCTGCAGGCTGCCACTGCCTGTGATGTGACTGGCTGCTAGACAGGTTTGTTAGGGTGCACTGTGTGGGGAAGGGAGGCTGCACTGTACTTACAGGATGCTGGGCCCTGTGGCTCCCTGGAAGGCTCTACTGTGCATCTTCTCCAGGTAGATGTTTTCTTTTAGCTCCCTGTGTGGAAAGACGGCTTCCTTAGTCACGTTTGCCCTTCACATCAACCTCCATAACTGCGTACACACATGCTCAAACTGGGCTGCGTGCATGGTGTGGTGGGGCAGAAGGGAAAAGGGAGGGGTAGACCACGGGATGGAAACCGCGAGTCCTCAGTGACATTGTGAGATTGCAGGTGTCTGTATTTGGTGTCACTTGTTTGCCCCCCCCCCCCCCCACTTGGTGGAACCCTTTGTCCTGGGACTTAATGGATTCAGCCCCTCCTGTTGGATTTGTAAGAACTTGCCACCAGGCAGCTGGCGCAGGATTGAAATGCTTCTCCCCAAGTCCAAGGCTACTGGGTGAAAGTGCAGCCTGTGCCTTATCATTCTCTGAGTTACTGCGACCTTGGAGGCCTCAGAATTTGTCAAAAGCCACATACCGAACAAGAGTAAGGCTCCTTCCAAGTGGAATGTTGTCTGATTCCTTGACTTCCAGCCCCATCTCTCTTGGGAAGACCCCAGCATCTCTACCTCAGCCTTGCCCTGCTCCTCCAGCCTCTGTCCTTTCTGCTAAAGGAGGAACATTCTTGCTTTGACCCTCACATTCCAAAAGTTCTGATATCTGCCAATCTGAACACATCTCATCTGTGAGGCTTCTCATCTCATCTTGGGGCTTCTGCCTGGGACACAGTTCTACCTTTGCCTGTTCACATCAGCCTGGCGCAAAGCCTGCACCCCCTGCACCCCGACGCCCTGTGCTCCGTAACACCTTCTCCTGCCTCTGAAATCCTGGAGGACTTGCTTGCACTCAGGGCAAGCTCATCACACTGCCTTCTGCTTGAGTTAGGAGTTAGGTACAGTTCGCACACCGTTTGGAGCTGCCGTTTCCTGTGCTGTGAATCTCTGTGGGTAAACCCTTCAGCACACAGCTTTCTCGCCTTCTTCTCCTCTGGAAGATAGTGCAGCCCCTTCAGTAGAGCTGTGGTTTGTTGAGTGAATAATGGAATGAGACATCTGAGAGTGGACCAGAGAGGCTGCCATGCTTCTGACCTAATCTTGGAGTGCTTGCTAATGAATTTCATGCAACTATCAAGTCAACAAGATAATGTGCAAGTCCCCTCCATGAGGACAATGCTTATACAACTCCCACTTCTTCAGTACTTGGTAGGATCTAGACCCTAAGCTGAGTGCATAAAAATCTTTATTCACCCATTCACATGAATCATGGAATAAACTTAATCCAGGAGCACTTACTGAGTACCAGGCCCTGTACCAAGCACTAAGGGTGCAAAGTAGACCCGTTCATGTTGTTGGGCCAATCCTCACAATCAATCTACTGGCCCCTTTGCTTTATGAATGAGGACACTGTGGGCAGTGTTAACTTGTTCAAGGTGACACAAGTTGATAAATAGTGCTCTGGAGTTCAGAGCCAGCTATAGGGACCCGGAGGCCTCCCCTAAGCTGTGAAACTCTACAGCATGGTATCAGCACAGCAAGCTCCTTGGTTTAAGATCCATAGTTAAAATTATCAGCATATTATATAGACCAAAGCTACTTCACCTCAGACCTTGACATATCAGGGTTGCTGGGAGCTTGGTGAATGTGCAAATTCTCAGTGCTTTTGAGATCCCCCAAGACAAAGCCAGTAGAGGTGGGCCTCAGGAGTCTGCCTTAACAATCCTGAGGTGATTCTTCATGCGTTTGTGAATCATGCTTCACACAATTTTATAAATATTTTTTGTTACATTTATTTATTCACTTTTCTATTTATCTATCTATCATCTATCTATCTGCCTGCCTATCTATCTATCTGTCTATCTATCTATCTATCTATCTATCTATCTATCTATCATCCATTCATTTACCTATCTATTATCTATCTATCTATCTATCTATCTATCTATCTATCTATCTATCTACTTATCTATATGTGAGAGAAAACACGGCCATGCTGCGGGGGTGTGTGTGTGTGTGTGTGTGTGTGTGTGTGTGTGTGTGTGTGTAGGTCAGAGGACAACTTTGGGGAGTCAGTTCCCTCCATCAGGTAGTCAGGCTCGGGGACAAGCCTCTTCACACTCCGTGCTACCTCACTGACTACTAACTCATTCATTTTCAAAGCCTTGCTGTTTGTTTTCATTAACTTTATCTTCAGTTTAGCTTTCCAGGTGCTCGTAGGTTTTGCTGTTCATGACTGTTGAGCCTCATCCTGCATTGTGATGGACCACACATCCCCACCAACATGTAAACTTACCACCATTCCTGAGGATGGCCGTGGGGAGGGGCGGTAGAGAGCAATGAAGGGAGCCATCCTTAGGATGAGTCCCCTGAGTCAGAGGCTGGTACAGGGGTGGGGGGTGGGGGGCCACGGCAGGCAGGGTGCTGGACTGAAGTGGGGAAGAACCAGAGCTCCCTTTCCTGTGGAGAGCAGGAGGGAGGTGGGCAAGTGAAGCCGCTGTGGCTGATTAGGCTGCTAAATGGTGTCACCCCATTTCCCTGCAGTGGGGTCTGGGGAAAAGTCTCTTTCTGAAATATTCCTCCTCTGCCACACCATCAGCCTGTACAAGGAGGCTAGAGAGGAGAGCGGCGAGATGGAGGAGGCACAAAGTCGGGTGTTGAATATTTCAGCAAACTGTCAACTTCGATGCATGGAAGCTGTTTCTGTCTTTGAAATCAGGGTGCTCTGGGGTTTCCAGCCAGCCGGTTGCCTAGTAACCCTCGTGCAACTCGGAGGACTAGCCACTTGAAAGTTTATTTTTGCCCTGACTTAGTTGCTGAAGATTGAATGTGATCTGGTAGCCAGAGTAATACTTCATTTTTATTCATGAGCCAGGGAAATAAGCATATACTTACAGCGAGATTAGCGTCGTCCCATTGAATGCATGGCTTTGTACTTCTTCAAATCCATTTCCATACAGTTTGCTGGAGGAGGGAGGAGAGAGGGTTTAGGGATGGGAAGGAGCTGACAGAGCGCAGTTTGGAAGCAGACGCCTTCCCTCCTGTGACATTTACTGCTAAGATAACCACTGGCATTCAGAACAGCTAGCTGGGTCTCCACCGTTCTGGACTCTGGAGGCGCGTGGGGTGAAGCTCTTCTTTCTACTCTGTTTTTCTTCTCCTCCCCCATCACCACTACCAATTCATAAAACATTTACTAGGTGCCGGGTACTTGACCAGCCCTGGCATGCCATCTTCTCATTTGCTTCTTGTGGCTGTTGCTTCCGTTATAGTGATAAGAAAGGCAAGCGTTGGTGCGGTTGGGCTCATGGTTCCTGGGAGCAGGGGCAGAGCTGGGATTCAAGGCTGAGATGCCAGACTGGCTCAGAAAGCCTCTGTGGATCCCTGGGTGCTGTGGGCTGTGGGGACTGTTGAGCAAAGCTCTGGGGCCGAGTTACCTGCTCTTTATTTCTTTGTGTGTGTGTGCTCATGTTTGTTTGTTTTTTTTAATTTTTTTTTATGCCAAAGCTGGCTCCGTAGCCCCAAAGATCTAAATGTCTGTAAACAGTTCTTTAAGCCCCATTAGTGGGTAGTGAAATCAATGTAGTTGAGTGCCACCAGCATTTAAAAAAGTGAAATGGGGTTGAGCAAGGGAGAAGTGTTGGAGTGCACTGTGAGCAGATAGGGTATGGATGTTTATCAAATTTTGTTCCACCATTATATACGGTATCTATAACCCCCCCCCATACATGCAAGGCACATACATGCACACAGTCATGCATACACACACCTGCTCAGACTGAGAACTAAGAGACTCTAGCTTCCAGCCACTCTGGAAGTGCCAGAGCCAGTAAGGAGCCTAGGAAGGTTTACTTAGAACCCCTTCATCCTACAAGGAAGGAAGGACATGGGCTCAGACAAGGAAGGTGATGAGGACTGTACCAGAGAACACTGCTTGAGGCTTCTTTCAGTACATCCGTTTGGCTGACTGTTTTTCTCTCCAGTCCCCATAACCTTAAGATGTACTCACCCTTCTCCTAACAGGCTGGGTTCAATGCCACATAAGCCTCAGCGTGGTCTTCCTGTTCAAAATTCCAGTCCCTCCTTTCCAACTCTTCCTATTGGCCTTCCCTGATGTCTTTATTTTCTAGCTTTATCACCATGTAACCCAAAATGCCTTCCTTATTCCTGGCTGGCCTCTTTTAGCAGAGCATAATGTCACGACAACAAGAATTTCAAACCATGGCATCCATTGCAGACTTTCCTGTATCCTGAGCAATTGTTGGAATTCAGAGCCTGACAATAAATGTGCTAAATGAATTTGATGAATATTTGAATGAGTCCATGGGAGAGATCTTCTTCTGAGTCATAACCAGACGTGTTTGAGAGTCACCCTTCTACATGTCCATATCTGTGAAAGCTCTTTGCGAGCCGTGAAATAACTCCCGAATGAGAAAGGGCCATGGTGTGATGTGACTGAGCTCACCCTGTCTGCAAGACTTTGGCTTCCTGCCTAGCATTGGCAGATATGTGAGTGGGTAACTTGGAAAATGGTACAGATACCTGCTCTGAGACACTTGTTCCTACCACAGAGAAATCCTTAGGGTTTCTCCGGTCTTTGTTAATTCAGGCCAGCATGGACATCCACCTCCTGCTGCATGTTCATGTATGTAGTGCGGGGGTGTGTCATTCCTTCCCACCAACCACAGCAAACCTTTGATGAAGCATCAAATAAACAGCGGTGGCATCCGTGCTGAAGTATGACGTTTCAACTGTGAAACTCAGGAAATCTAAATTAGAGATTACAAAATAATCCCTGCGGCCTCCTCATGAGATTGAGTTCAAAATCAAAACTGATGAAGAGGGAACACAGAGACTCCAAACACAGAGAAGCAACGAAGAGATGAAAATGCTAATTACCCTGCTCTGATTGGTATATGCTGTGGATATAAATATTGCACCATGTTCCATAATGTATACAACAAATACACCGTATTTAGTCCCTACTTCCCTGCTAAACGTGGAGCCTTAAATGCTCCAGGGACCTAATAGGAGCCATCAGCTTTGGCATCCATGGTAAAGAGAGGCCTCCCTAACTTCTGGGCTTCTTTTCTGTATACAGATGCACACAGGAGTGCCTATGACCTATATTAGATCGTTGGATACCATTTTCCAACAGTTTCCCCCACCATTTTCTAGTGTAAAATATAAGAGGACAGGTCCTTTCAGACCTGTCATTTTGGGTAATTACATACAGCTTTCTCGGCAGCTGAATCCCACGGGAGCTTTTAAGACGTGTTAATACTTAGAATATTGTTCTTTGTCCATCTCCTCTCGTGGTGGGGGTTCCCTTACAGATAACTCTTTTCCAGGAAAGAGTCACACCTCTGTTTCCTCTGAGTAGCTCTGAAATCAAAGTTTGCAGGGTCATCTAGGCCAGTATTTGTCGAAGCATGTACCAATGCACCTAAGCAGAATCACGTGAGCTTAATTCTCAGAAATGGAGACTCGGTCCCCTGCATGTGCAGCCCAGCCCCACTGCACCTGACTGGGAAACCCCGTCCCAGGGTATATCGCAGTGTGATGGGTCTTTTCCACAGGGCCAATCACGTAGGTTTTTTGCTCAACACTGAGTCCACAGTCTAGTCTTTCTACCATTTCCTCTACTCAAAGTGACAGAGTTGCATCTCGGACAGATCAAGACAAAGCCTTCCCGATGTTTCAGCAAAGCAGAGCTGTTTGTAGTTACCTGGAAGCCCTTTCCCCTTTCCTACGGTTTGCTAACCCTTATCTTAATTTTTTTAACTTTTTTTTGTGTATATGATTATTTTGTCTGCATGTATGTATGCCTGGTACCCACAGAGTCCAGAAGAGAGCAGCAGATCCCCTGGAACTGGAGCTAAAGATGGTTGTGTGTTGAGTGCTGGGAATGAACCCTGGTCTTCTGGAAGAGCAGCCTTAACTGCTGACCATCTCTGTATCCTGTGATTTCAATTTTGATACATGTTAAGATCTTGTCACTTTTCTCTGGATTCCTCAAGCCAATGCTGCCTATGTGGCTTTGTGGTTCAGTCTGTAGGTATCGAACCCAAGTGCCTGGGCTTCAATCACACTCCAATTCTTACAAGCTGAATTACTTTGGGTAATTTGCTTAACCTCTCACGCCTCAATTTCTTCATCCAAAAACTGGGATGATAATAACAGTGTCAATCCTATAAAGCTGTTGTGTGTAAACATATGTCAATCACTTAGAAGTAGATTTTGGAGCCGGGCAGTGGTGGCGCACGCCTTTAATCCCAGCACTCGGGAGGCAGAGCCAGAAGGATCTCTGTGAGTTCGAGGCCAGCCTGGGCTACCAAGTGAGTCCCAGGAAAGGTACAAAGCTACACAGAGAAACCCTGTCTTGAAAAACCAAAAAAAAAGAAAAGAAAAGAAAAAAAAAGAAGTAGGTTTTGGAACACAACCAATGCAGTGGCCTCTAGCCCCATAATTGGAGCAGGGAGGTCTCTCGTTACAAGATTTCGACAGGATTTCTCTGAGCTGTAGGCCCATGTTTAAATACATTGTTACTTCCCTCCATTGGAGTGGGACCTTTCTGCTTCTGCAGAGCAGGCCCGGTCACTGGCCCAGGCTGTACTCACTGGTTTGGCCCTCAGCAGCCCCTCTGTCTGGGTTACTGTCATGGACTTTTTTCATGTCTTGTTTTTATTTTTGAATAGTCTGGGTCATGCTTGTTGGAATTTTCTAGACTGTGGCTCCCTGCTTCCCTTTCAGCGGCAACTGCTCTCTGTTCTCACCAGCGGGCACACAATGGAGGACGCCGTCTTGACTTGATTAAAGGAACAGCTGCCTCGGTTTGGAGAACTTGTGAATGTGAGTGGGAGGCCTCGCGCTGTCAGCCTCGTACAGCGCCTTCAATGCCTCTGAAAACATCTGGAGAGTCACTTCAGATGCTGTTTTCCCCAAATCTCATGGTGTCAGAATGAAGGGGGGGGGGGCTTCCTTGGCACAGAGATGAGATGAAGATCCCCCTTGCTTCCTTGTGGCAGAAGCAGTCCCACGCTTGCAGGCATTGTCTGGGTTCTCTATTCAGATATCAGTAATTACGCATCAAACAGAAAGAATGGAGTCTTTTAATCCAAGAAAGATTCGGGAGTTAGAAATTAATCACAGACGGTACTGTACTTCTGAATGCTGCCTTCCCCTTTGAATAGTCCCAGGGTGCCTGCCGCACAGTGCGTTGGGACTTCTATGAACAGTGTTAGACATTCTCTTGATCATGGGGCCACCTAGCTTTTGGTTGCTTGCAAAGAAGAAAGATGATGTTTGCAGATCCTCAGGATCTCAAAGAGTGGCCCTATTGTGGAAAGACAATGTATGACAGTTTAGGACTCTGCCTGCTGCTGGAATGCAGGGAAGCAACTTTTTTCTTTTTTTTTTCTCTCTCTCTCCCTCCTTCCCTTCCTGCTATATCTCTTTCTATTAAACCAGATGACTGTAGGAAAAGCATCCTAAAGGAGAAAAACTCCCCCCACCCTTTGCCTCCTATGTGGCTGGAGGGTTTTTTTCTTTCTTTGTTTGTTTTGTTTTCTAATCTGAATACGTCCTTGTGGACAAAGCCCACTTTTCAGTGCACATCCTGGCAGGGTTGTGTGGATAGCTTCTGCTCTCTGATGCTTATGTGCCCCTCGGAACCTGGGTTGAATGTCCAGGGTCCTCCATTTCTGTGGCTCTCCTGCTCTCGGAGCTGGCTGAGGCCTCCTGACTTTCAGCAGCACTGAGCTGTTGGCGTATTTCCCACTCCCTCAGTCAAGTACGTGTCAACTTGGGTGACTTTACCATATGCTGCATTAAAGAAGATGGAAGGTTTCAGAAAGAAAGGTGACAGGAATGGATTCTAATGTGGCAGATAACAGCTTTGAGAAATCCACATTCCAAGTCATACTTCAAAACAGAGAGAGTGAGAGAGAGCATGCAGGAGAAAGCACAGCAAAGGAAGCCCTCTTTAGGAATAGAAATAGTGGGTAATAAATACAGAAGAGGCATGGGATGTACAAGTAATCCTCGTGTAATTCTCTTTGTGATTCTAATAGGCGCTAAAAGGTTGGGCCAACAGTGTGTCACAACTCGAAGAATCCCAACACAGGCGACTTGGAAAGGACAAAGGAAAAGTGTATTGGTAGATCACATCTTAAGCAAGTGGCCAAGTGGGAGGACAGTGTGACAAGTACTTCCTGGTTTGTGGCAGCAAGAGAGACACAAGGTGGCCTTTGCAGTGAGTGCCCCATGACAATGCATAAGTTGAATCTAGCCACAGCAATGCAGGCAGATGGATTCAGACGACCGGCCTGAGTTCCTTGATCCAGAGCCTAACAGAATGCAAGAAGGCACAGGGGCAGCTCAGGAGTAGAGGAGGCATGGGAGGTGAGTGTGTAAACGAGATTCTAAGCTTTGCGAAAACCTGCTCTTCCACGGCTCCTGCCTCTGCTCCTGCTTGGGTTCCTGCCCAGACTTCCCTCACAGCTTGACTGGGATTGGGATGTGTAAGCCAAACAAACGCCTTCCTTCCCGAGTTACTTTTGGTCGTGGTGTTTAAATCACAGCAATGGAAAGCAGTGGGCAGTACCTGGGAAGGGAAAAGCTCAGCTGAGGAGTTGCCTAGATTGGTCTGTGGGCGTGTTCATGGGCCACGGTCTTAATTGATAGTTGATGTAGGAGGGCCAACTCTGTTGGGCCCTGACCCCCGTTCCTTGGGTAGCTGTTGCCTTGCTTGCTGACCTTGATCAGGTGTCCTCCCTATGCTGATTCCCTGCCGGTTTCCTTCCTCCTAAAACAGCTTACCAGAGGTTCCTTGTTTGTGTATCCTGCTTTTGGTGTAAACAGCTAGGATGCAAGTAAGTAAAACATCTGTAGCTAACCTCCGGGGTTCTCCCACTGTGCTGTAAGCCTGTATTTAAGGCCTCCTCTCTCCTTCAATAAATGGCATTTGGCATTCTACTGAGACCCGCTGTCTTGTCTCTGTTTCTAATCCTCAGCCCCTGGCTCAGACATGGTGAACCGGTGGTAGCGCGGGTGCTACAAGTGGAGGTTCCACCGAGATCCGAGAAAGAAGGGGTGTGCTGAAGGACACCCAGAGAGGGCTGGCCAGCATTTTAAAAGAAGGTAAGAGTGGGTGAATTGTTATGGGTGCAGCTAGTTCGCAGTCGCTCCTGGAGGAGCTGTTAATTGGACTGCTGAAGCAGCAGGGCACCGTCGTTGAGAGCAGGACAGCTAAAGATCTCATTCAGATCCTCCAGAACATTAGTCCCCGGTTTCTGGTCTCTGGGGGATTTAATATACCAGATTGGGAATAGGTTAAGATTGGCTTACAAAAATATTCGCATAAAGAAGGGCCTGATTCCATACCCTTAGCTACTTTCTCTTTGTGGCGCTTGGTTAAAGATGCGTTACTTAGTGATAATGTCAAAGTTCAAGAACAATTAACTGAAGCTAAAGCTGTGTCGGAAGAGGCTCAGGTAGAGGAGGCTTTCAGATCCCTTCAAACTTCTGATGTTTCTAACTCTGCAGAGTCGTCTTCAGAGGGAGATGATGTAGAAGTCAGATTAGAAAAGGATACTAGATGCTTTTTTTTTTTTTTTTTTTTTTTTGGTTTTTCGAGACAGGGTTTCTCTGTGTAGCTTTGCGCCTTTCCTGGAACTCGCTTTGGAGACCAGGCTGGCCTCGAACTCACAGAGATCCACCTGGCTCTGCCTCCCGAGTGCTGGGATTAAAGGCGTGCGCCACCACCGCAGCCCGGCGGATACTAGATGCTTAAGAGGGAAATTACAGAAGATTTCTTACAAGGATAGACCTCCAGCCCATAACCCTGACTTTCACAGCATGGAGGTCCTTCCTTCCACACCCATAGAGGGGTTAACAGGGGGAGTTGCTTACCCAGTTATAGAGACTCAAAATGATCAAGGTCAGCAAATAAGGCAACAGCTACCCAAGGAACAGGGGTCAGGGCCCAACAGCCAACCCCCCTACGGGCAGGACCATGTCTAGACAGGTGGGCCTGGGCTCTATAAGAAAGCTAGTGGGCCGGGCGGTGGTGGCGCATGCCTTTAATCCCAGCACTCGGGAGGCAGAGGCAGGCGGATCTCTGTGAGTTCGAGGCCAGCCTGGTCTACAGAGTGAGATCCAGGAAAGGCGCAAAACTACAGAGAAACCCTGTCTCGAAAAACAAAACAACAAAAAAAAACCAACAACAACAACAAAAAAGAAAGCTAGTGGAGCAGAGGCCAGGGAATGAGCCGGAGAACAAGCAGGCGGGAGAACAAGTGTTGCTCCACGGGTTCTTTTCCAGGTTCCTGCTCTGACTTCCCTTAGTAATGGATTGAGACCTGGATGTGTAAGATAAAATAAACCCTTACTCCCTCAAATTGCTTTTTGTCAGAGTGTTTTATCACAGCAACAGAAAATCAAACTAGAACATCCTCAACAAAACCCAAACATTTAAAACATGGTGAGCTATTGGAGACAGTCTGTAACCACTGACTTGCTCTGGGTTGTTAGTTTTTAGCTGCTAACTGTGGTTAATTGAGGCACTTGTGGTAACTGTGGTGTGCACATGGTGTGATTGGATCTGCACAAGGAGGCATTAATAATTCCACTGAGTAGAGATGGGGCCCGGCTCTCCAGGCCCAAACTGACTGAGACTGGTTGGGTTAACACCGAGGTGCCACACCCGGTTGTCTTTGTATTATGGCTTGTCATAGGTGCAGCCAAAAATCCCATCTCACTTTGCAAGTCCTTCTACTCAGAAGGCTCCTAGGAAAAGGAATTACAGTGACTTTTCCCTGACTTGTGGAGTTCAAGTGTAAATCAAGGTTGGTTGTTTGGGGGAGTTTAGCTGACCCATCATCATCCAGAATATTTTAAAGGCTGTACAGCTAAATGTAGGTGGTGTGGGTGGGGATATGTCAAGGTGGCCTCTAGAGGAGATTTAATAAAAAGCCACAGTGGCTGTGGAGGGCCATATGAGTATAATGCAGAATTTTAGACTTGGCCTCTCAGAGCTTGCTCCTGCACTACGTGAAGTGTTTTGTTTTCATTAAATGAGCTCACAGTTGGTAAAGATTTGGGCGAGGGGGAGGGCCAGACCAGTCTCACCAAGAATGGAATCACAAATCCTGCTAATAATGAAAGGAGAGGGCTTGCTTTCATTATTTCCTAATTAAGGAGTTGAACTTTATAGCTGAGAAAATAAGGCTTTCCCGGGCAAGCATAATACCCTTTATCCAGCAGGGTGCTCCACATGACCCTTCACTCACACAAGGGCCCATTCAACTGAGAACAAGTGCCAGGGAAATGACTAATCACACCCCTGGGAGATGAATGGCCAAGAACAGGGCGGGGGGATGGAGCACAATGGGCCACAGGTGCTCTGGGAGGAGCAGATCCCAAGTCCCCATTAACTTCAGAGGTGGGGCAATTACATCCTGCTGGTGCGCACTATTCCTCTTAAAATCACAACCAACATAAGTTAATAGCTCTGTGAAGCCAACACAAGGCAGTTCTTTTGCACTCATGTAGAATCATGCTCTATGGAAAAGGCTTTCTGGGAGCTCAGTTCCCCAACATGTCCGGAAGGTCTGCACCCTTTCACTCCTGCTTGGCTCCATTCCCATCATAGGACACCTGTGAGGAGTCACTCTTGGTTCCTGATTAAGTTTAGGTCAAGATTAACTGTCAGTTTTATATTTTGATCTTTGAATAAAGGCCCGGCCTCAAAGAATTGCCCTTGTGCAGGGAAGAACGTCACTAATTGGAAGTCAATAATGCCACCAGTCCTCAGGACCCCTCTGCTCAGAGCAGAACTGAACTCCTGGTTTAGTTGTCACATGAAGCATCCTATACAACTCCTCCCAACATCGGCAGTCTAGGTTAAGAAGAACCTTGTCACCAGAGTCAAGAACGTGGTGAAACACAGAGCAGATCGCTAACCTCAAACCAGAAGTGGGAGTGGTCGAGCAGGCTGTATGGCAGCGTAAGAATCCAGGATGCTACTCACAGTGTGATGGACTCGTTACTCATCCCTTGGAAAGCATTCCCTGGTATGGTGGTTATGTGTAAGTTATCACAGATTTCCCTTGAGGAAAGAAATGAGAAATATTTACTTTCTAAATTTTAGCTGTGAATAGGAAACGGTTGTGCATAGCGATCAGCCTGATACTTACAGAATGACATTAAATTCAGAGGAGGAGATCTTCGTAACATCTGGAAGGGTTTGGATGCCGGTGTTACAGATGCTCCTGCAATTTGGGGCAGGGTGATGATGTGTGCAGAAAGTACAGGCAATTATTATTAGGTCATAAATACAAAGCACTCTGCAGACCCTATTTTCACATTAAATTTTAAAATATTGGATTTGACTTCAGGAGTTATACTTTTAGCTGATGAAGATGGTCAGAATTTCAAAGGCTCCTTGGCTAGGTGAAGTTGCCGGAATGGTTCCTGTTTTAAGTTTTAGGGGCTGAAAACAAGCTTGCAGATGTTTTGCCTTGGTATTTCCAGTTGTCTTTCCTTTAAAGACATTTCATCTTCCTGTTGGATTGCATTCTGTTTCCTACCAATAACTACTTTAGTCCATGTTATTGCTAGTTCCAGAGAGGAACTTTTTCCTTTGGAGTGGAATTTTAACTCAAACATTGCAGGAAAGTAAATATTTATTTATTTTTTAGTTTTTGGTTTTTCGAGACAGGGTTTCTCTGTGTAGCTCTCTGACTGTCCTGGATCTCACTCTGTAGACCAGGCTGGCCTCGAACTCACAGAGACCTGCCTGCCTCTGCCTTCCTGAGTGCTGGGATTAAAGGCATGCACTACCACTGCCTGACACAGGAAGCTTAATCTTATGAGAAACGTATACCCTTCATTATTAAAACTGTATTTAGCTATTTTGTGGTTCAGGAGGTTCTTCCTTGTATCTCATTGAAACCATTGAACATTGTTTTTGTGCTTGGAGACCGTTAAGGCTCCTGCCTTTTATTTAACCTCTAAAGAAGAAAGGGGCTTACTGGAAATTGGGGAATATTTCACTAAAAGAATGAGGCTCCTTCAGAGGCACGAAGGAACCTGGACTTCCCCAGTGGAGTTTAAACTGAGCAGACATGGGCTCTGGACAACTGACAGGAGCTGCCTGGCACTCTGATGACAGTAGAAGACGCTGGGTTTCTCTCCATGCTCTTTCGTCTCCATGTTACTGTTCATTCATTTGAATGAGTGTGCAAATGGGATAGAAGCATTCACGTTGAATCCATGCCTTGTCTGCACTGAGGTTAGCAGGAGACTCCGACTGCAATGTGAACTTGGGATTGGGGAACACTAGTCAAATTTGGGTCTGGGTTATCCTTAATGCCTTCTAAAGTGGTTGACTACAGGAATTTTCCCAAGTCCAGCCCTGAGAAAATTCCTCCCAGAGTCCTGGGGAAGATGCTGCATCCTGTGTGGGATATCTGAGGGAAAGGAATCTACGTACATCATGTTCTTTTGTCCATTTACTTTATTGCTCTATGACTAAATTCTATCTACACAGCTTCAGTTCCATCCTGGCTATCAGTTCCTCTCTGTACCTAACTTTTTCTGTCCCCTCACAGCCCTGGTAATAACTAAGCCTTTATGCTTTTGATCTCATCTTCGTCCCCTGTTCCTTTGCCCTCCATCTTTCTTCCCTCTTCTCCTCTCCTGATCTGATTCACCTACAATCTACAAGAAATTTTTTGCTGTGGGGTGTTCTGTATGGCAAATGTGTTGCTGATTGGTCAATAAATAAAACACTGATTGGCCATTGGCTAGGCAGGAAGTGTAGGCGGGAAAAGGAGGAGAATAAAGCTGGGAAGTGGAAGGCTGAGTCAGGGAGACACTGCCAGCCGCCACGATGACAAACAGCATGTGAAGATGCCGGTAAGCCACGAGCCATGTGGCAAGGTATAGATTTATGGAAATGGGTTAATTCAAGATAGAAGAAGTAGATAGCAAGAAGCCTGCCACGGCCATACAGTTTGAAACCAATATAAGTCTCTGTGTTTACTTGGTTGGGTCTGAGTGGCCGTGGGACTGGCAGGTGAGAGAGATTTGTCCTGACTGTGGGCCAGGCAGGAAAACTCTAGCTACAATTTTTCCTTGCTCCTCACTCCTCAGCCTGAGCCATTCGGCCTTACCATCTACAGAATCTCTGCCTTTCCCCCTTCCCCTCCACATAACTCCCTCCTCTGGAATTCTGCTTCAGTCCTTACTGCACCTGGTTATGCAAAAAGCCCTATTGTTCTTAGTCAATCTCTCTGCCTTGCCCCAGGCCTGAGGGAAGGGGGATGGTCTGAGCTTCATTTGCACAAGAAACAAAGCTATGCATCTAGGAGCCAGGTTACCTTAAGGATGTTTTACCTTAGGTCAGGGGCTTCAGGTGTCTAGCAGGTGGTCTGGTAGTTATTCTGTTCCTTGCTGGTCCTTCATTGCTTTGTTTGGAGCTGGCCCTATCTTTGGATCTAGCTAAAGGGGATATTTGCAAAAGGCAGATGCCCAATTCAAATGCTAAAAAGGGGGGCAGGGAGCTCAGAGGCAGAAGGCCCTGACTATGTGACTTTATCAGAATACTGGCCCGAGCAGGGTGCTCATACATACACGTTCTATGGGAATTATGAGCACAAGAAATTCATAAGGAGAAGCAGCTGAATATTAAAGCTGTATAACACCAAACACTCCGTGATAAATGGCTTCCCATTTGACGGACCCTTGGTCGGTCAAAGTATAGCTTATTATATACAGCTGGACTCCCTATAACATATTCTTGTGGCTCATCACAGTTGACACTTATGTGCCCAAGCTACCCTGGAGGTTGGGAAACACACCACGCTTGGGTTTACAATTACTCATGGAGGAAAAAGAAAGACACCACAGCCAGCTACAACTTCTGCATGGCATCCAGGAACAAGACTGATGGTGTAGGGTGTCACAGAGGTCCCTTCCTTCATCCTCTGCTTTCTTTATTTCTTTGCATTTGAGTGGTAGTGGTAACTTCTGTGTGATAGGGATGACTTGTTATGTGAGAAGATTCATTGCCATAGAGGTAGAGACGTGGGGAAGTTTTGGGAATTTTCATTTCTGATAGAGCCAGTTGCTGTTTGGGCTATGGTGGGACTCGGTCTCTCATGCTCACCAGTAGACTTGGTTGGATTTAGCGCAAAATAGAAAGCGATTGAGCTTACACGGTACAGTGCCAGCCTCAGGCAATGCTTAGGTTTTCCCTTGATGAATGGATGAATGAATGAACGCGATCAAAGAGAGGAAATTCTCGTCGTGCAATGGGAGAAATCAAATTGCAATCATTTCTCCTGGTTTTGTTTGCTGTCACTCACCTTTGAAGTTCTGATTTGTCCTTTATGAAGTGTTGAGAACCCCCGTTCCCATTTCCAGCTTTGAGAACCACTGCCAAGGGGCCATGTTCTCCTCAGGCGAGTGGGGCAAAGGGAATAGTGGGAGCCACTTACGTATGTGTGAAACTCCCAGCATAGTAACAAACAAGAAATACTGATTAAATTTAGATCAGAAAGCCAACAAGGAGGGACATGCAAACACAATGTTGACTATAAGTTAAAAAAATTCTTCAAGGGGCTGTGGAGATGGCTTAGTGGTTAACTGATTAAGAGTGCTTGCTGTTCTTCCAGAGGACCAGAGTTCAGTTCCCAGCACCCATGTCAGGCAGCTCACAACCTCCTGTAACTCAAGCTCCAGAGGATTCGAATTCCTCTTCTAGTCTCTGTGGATATTCCACTAGTGTGCAAACCCACACTTGGACCCACATATACACATATGATTTAAAAAATAAAATGAAAATCAGAAACCTTCTTCAGCATTCTGATCATTTTCAGTTTCACCAGATACCCCTCTTCCCCTCTACAAAGGCTGATAAAGGAAAAATTCTCACAGGTATTTTAACCGAGGGAGATTTGTAAAAGCACCAGGTTCAATGTATACCAGGTTTTTGGTGTTCTGGATCAGTCTGTAGAGAGAAAAGGGAAAAAGGGTGGTGGTTTAATAGATGTTGGAATACATGGCACAGGTCACCAGGCATTCTTGACTAAAATCCCACTAATGAAATCAACTGCCATCATATGCCTAAGACAAGCTCCTGGAACTCTGGGGTGTCCTGGGGGTCCTGCCAGCTATTTCTGGGAAGTTTACCCACCCTTCCGAGGAGGGAGGTGGAAGCATCTTAGCCTGGAGTTTATCTGTGAATGTCTTTACTTCTGCCCCTTCCTACCAGATAACAACAAGGGCCAAGTAGAGCTTGGAGCCTGCACATTGGGAGAGATGGGAGGCGCTGTTCTCAGGAGAATGAACAAATCAACACGGACCCTTGGAGGCAAACTAGTTTTTGTTCATATTGAGTTGGTAAGCATGCTGAAAAGTTATCCAGATGGGCATACATCTGGAACAGCACAGCACAGAAGCCTTGGGATTCAGATTTCTAGAATCGTATGCCCAGTCTATAGCTAATTTGCTATGTTGGATTCCCATCCTCCTGGCTTTCCTGAGCTGGTGTGCCTTCTATAAGTACTAATGATAATACCCTTCCTCATCACTTTTACCCCCTCCCCTGTCTGGTTCTCCCCCCCATCAGTACCCCCTTCTGCTTTTCTTTTACAGGTAATCCATCGTTAGAGTGGGTTCTGAGACGTAAGTGTGACCGTTTGGTTTCCGCTGACGTCTCCAGTGTTGCTGGTGGAAGTTGAATGATCTGTATCCGAAGAGTAACAGGACTTGAATGGGATCTAGTTTTTCGGATTCCAACTCTGCTGATCATTCCACCACACTATAGTAACTACTGCTACTTTGAACGTGGGCTGAAGGTCTAAATTCTACAGATGTGAGTGGTATTCTGTGGTAGTTCTTCTTCCAATACGGAATCAAGCAGTCCTCAGTGAGACATGTGAGAGAGGCAGGAACTGTTACCTCCTAAGGATCCTTCGAGGTCTAACCATAGAGCATTTCCTCACACAGTCATTCATTCTATCAGCATTTTTGAGTGTCTGTGTGATCGAGTGCTGCCCTAGCTCTGCAAGACACCACTGTGGACAGGGCACAGAGACTGCCTGAGGCTAACTTGTTGAGTCTCAGGGCCTTCTTTAGGAATCCACAGACATCCCCTGCAAAGTGCTTTCTTTTTCTTCCAGTTGCTATCTTGCTGTCCTGATGGTGCTTCAGCATTCTCTGGGCAGCCTGTTAATGCTGCAGAATTTCAGGTCTGGGATTGCAAAGTCATCCACAAAGTAATGAACCCTACGTACTGTCCACAATAAGTCCAGACTATTTCTTTGGAATTTAAATGCCTGTTGTTTGGCTTTTTCAGTAATTGTCTGGTGAATTACTGTTACTTCTCTGGCTGTCCTGTCCTGTCCTGGTGGATAATTGTATTTCAGTTCCTCTGTGTCCCAGAAGCTCCTGGGCCAAGACAGGCATACAGCAGTACTCATGTACTTATCACTTAATTAATCTGCCTAGATAGTTTCTCACTGGACTATTGATGGAGGACTTCTGGTATAACGGAAAATGTACAAGCTTTGGAGAAAGATGGGCTGGAGTTTATAACCAGACCAGCCAGTGTCTGAGGTATCCACACACTCTCCAAGTTTCCGTTTCTTTCTCTGAACAAAACAGTAACCGTCTAACTATGCTGGTAGCTGTGAGCAAGGATACAACCTAGAGGAAATGCCAAGCACGGGAGCTCACAAGTTCTTGATGCACACCCCTTCCCTTCCTTTTGACCTGATCGGAGGGGGCTTCAGGAAGCCCAGGAGGGAGCCCCCTGTGGTGGTACAAAAAGCCTGGTTTGTTAGTCACGTGACCCAGTGTCTCTTCCAGCTCTGGTTCTAACCTGCTGCTATAGAATATCAAGAGAGTGAGTTAATGCTTTGGGGCTGTAGCTTCATCACTTGGAAGCTGAATTGAGTCACCCCATCCCTTTGAGTTGGGCATGTCTGTGTATGATCATTCAGAAACATTTATTTTTTTAAAATGTAGTTTACCTTAAATCCAGACCGTCGTCCCCCACCCCCACCCCTTTCAATCCACTCTTCCTCTATTTCTGTTCAGAAAGGGGCAGACCTCCCATGGGTACCAGCAAAGCATGGCGTATCAAGCTGCTTTAAGATCAAGCACCTCCTCAGGCTGGGCAAGGCAATCCAGTATGAGGAATAGGTTCCCAAGAGCCAGCCAAAGCATTAGGGACAGTGCCCGCTCCCATCGTTAGGTCCCACAAATAGACCAAACTACACAACTGTCACATATATGCAGAGGGCCTAGGTTGGTGCCATGCAGGCTCCCTAGTTGTTGGTTCAGACTATGTGAGCTCCTTTGAGCCTGGATATTTGTTTCTGTGGGTTTTCTTGTGATGTCCTTGACCCCTTTGGCTCCTACAATCCTTCCTCCCTCTCTTCAGCAGGATTCCCCGAGCTTGGCCTAATGTTTGCCTGTGGGTCTCTGCATCTGTTCCCATCAGTTACTGGATGAAGGCTCTCTGATGACAATTGGGGTAGTCACCAACCTGATCACAGGAGATGGCTAATTCAGGCTACTTATCCACTATTTCTAGGAGTCTTAGCTGGGGTCATTGTAGTGGGTAGCCATTCCAGCTTTGATCTGGAAGTTCCAACCCCCATTGAGACTTCGGCAACTGTCAGGCCTACAAGGCGGGGCCAAGGGAGGCGCCTGGAGACCTGAGATATGTATGGGCTGTGCTCTCACTCTGTTCCGGGACCCTGGATGGTGGAGGTGGGCCAAGCAGAGCTCCAGAGAACACCACTGGACTGCGATACACCTTCCCCAGACCCCGCGACCTACCTATCCCTTAATTTGTAAGTTACGCCATTAAATAAATCTCCTTTTAACTACGTGGAGTGGCCTTAATAATTTCACCAGTAGGTCATCCTTGTAGATTCCTGGGAGTTTCCCTTGCATTAGGTTTCTTCTTAACCCCCCAATGCTCCCCTCTTTCCAGTCACTTCTTTGGTACCCTCCCCTTTCACCCACCCCTCAACCCGTTCCCTCAAGTTTCCATCCCCATCCACCACCACCCCCACCAGTCTACCCAGAAGATCTCCTCTATTTCCCCTTTCCAGGAAGATCCATGGGTCCCCTTCTCGGGCCCTCCTTGTTAACCTAATTTCTCACTGGGTCTTTGGACTGTAGCAATGGTTATCCTTTACAGAAACACTTTTAAGAATAAATCTAACAATAACAACACCAATACAGCCCAATGACTCCAGCGTTCACAGACTTAACACAAGGCTTGTCACGGTTGGTATTAAAGGAGCATTTCAACTTGAAAGAATGAATATGTCTCAACAGCCCCTGATGAACCAACTCATGATCCCTAAGTTCCCTTCCAACTTCCTACCTACTCCAAGTGTTCCATACCCCTACCCCCAGCCCCCATGAGGCAAGAGCTACTTGGCAGGACTTCACAATGTCAGTTTTAATTTCCAGCGTTGTGTTGTGATGTTTCAGAGTTTACACAGTTCCTAGGGAGAAGCCGCTGTCACCATGGCAACCTTCAGGCCACTGCAGTGAGAGAGATTAGTGCCTGCCCAGACCTAGTCATTGGTGCAAGCTTTTCCTCCCGGATTCCTAGCATTGGATGCTTGGGCACAAACACCAAGTGGGCTCTCACCAGCCAGGGTAATAGTGTACAGCAAGAAACTATCTGTTATCTGATGCTTACATTTCAGACAAATTGAGGAGGGTGTCAAAGGCATTAGCTTCTATCCTTTCCAGGGAATCACTCTGAGAGATTTCACTAGGGAAGAGGAAAAAAAAAAAACATGAAGAAACATGAGAGAAATGATCATGTCTTTGTCTAATGACCTCTGTGTGTGCCCTGATCACTAAATGCTCCACTGTGTCCTCTGAGAAGGAATATGAGTGTACGAGCTCTCTCTACATCACTAAGGCCTAACATTTCCCTTAGCACCAATGGGTGTCTACAACTCTAGCACAATTGAACTGTGAGTTTCAGTCACGCCCATTTATACAAAAGTCTATTCTCTTGTTTCTGACTGTGAAGCATACATTGTTGGAAGTGCATAGGCCCCTTAAAAAAAAAAAATCTCCGGTCTGGTTCCCTTGCTGGACAGCTCTGGAAAATGACACCCTAGTAGAATTTACCTTAAGGTTCAAGGCTATGGTTGAGATCTCTGATGTTCTATCACTCCAGCAAGGCTTGGATTTGTGTTGAATTAGTTGTTTGATGACTTTTAACTCTTGTTTTTTTTTTTCAAAAGCCTTTTCTGGGGCTCCTTCAAGGTAGTTACCGTCTACACATGACCTTATCGGATCACTTCATGGATTCTAATTATCCCTTTCCTCCATTGTCTCACTCTGTGAGCAAATTCAAGACAAGGAATCCTTTCTATTTCTTTCCGAGTCCCTGGTGACTTCATCTTGCCTGGTGCCATGGCTAGAGATTGAATGAATATGGGTGCAAATAGACTACCGATTAAATGTATTTCTTAAGAAAGGCACAGAAGTGAATGAATCAGTTTTGTCATCCATCAAACCCAAGCATGATGGTAATGTCACAACCCCCACAAAAGCTGCCATCTGCTGCCAGCTGAGAAAAAAGTCTCCAATTCACAAGTGCCGGTTTGTGTATTTCTTTTTCTTTCTCTTTTTTAAGTTCAGTTTTCATTTATTTGTTTGCCCACGTAACAATTATTCTCTGAAGGCCCATACGTGCACCAGTTTAGACTCCATTATCTAGACAGTTTAGTCAAACCCTGGACCTACGTCATCTTAGGGAAGTGGCGTACAGGCGGGGTTGTGTATTTCTAAGGTTAATGCTCACTGAAGGCTTCAGAGAGAGCTGAGCTCACAGAAAGGCAGAGCCCAAGGCGACAACACTGTAATGGCTCCTGGACTCTTTCATCTCATCGATGTCGGATGGTTTGCTTATTTAACTGTGCCTGCTTTTCTCAGTGGGAGGTCTCAATGCATTAAAAGTTGTGGAAACTCAACATATAAACTTCAGAACAGAAGAGCGCAGGGCAGGCTGGCAAACCCACCTCCGAAACTTGCAGTGAGTCTCCTGTAATGCACACTGTTATTGAGGACTTACAGTTTTTAGAGTTTATTTTATGTGTTGTGGGTATATCTCTCTCTGTGCATACGTAAATGTGTGTGAAGGTACCCTCAGAGGCCAGAAGACAACATTGGATCCTCCCGGAACTGGAGTTACAGGCAGTTATGAGTAATGAAACATGGATGCTGGGAACCGAACTCCAGTCCTTAGCAAAAGCAGGATGTACTCTTGATGATGATAGTATTTTTAACCTTATCATTGCTTGCTAATAACTCAAGAACAGCAGAGGTTCCCTGTGGAGCTAAGATGGCCAATGCAGTCTTGTTTGGGTATGCAAATCTACTTTGGCGGTCACTTGGATTATTTAGAGGTGGTCTGTAGGGGGAGGAAACAGCCACTGAGCTAGTTTGGCTCAGGCTAATGTTAATAAGGCCATTGCAAAGTTCTCTCCTGGAGAGTTTTCTATCTGTGTGTGAGGTCTTTGGCTCTGGAAGCTGAAACCCAGAACAGGAGACCTAGGTCCCCTCTGAAGAACAGGACCATCGGGGTGCTCCATGCTTCCGGTCCATGCTTTTCATCAGCTCGGCTTTAAACCCGGTGCTTCTGTCGGGTGCTTATTGTATTTTAGATACAGTGATTATCTTATGATGCACAATAAACTTCTAACATTTTCATCAATGTGGGAGTTATCAAAAAAAAAAGCGACATTAGGGAATAGCTGCTGTAGTAGAATGGAGAACTTTTATGATAGGAATCTATCCCCTTTCTACTTAAAAAGAATATCGTCACTTATCAAAATGCATTCAATTCTTTGAAGCAAGGTTAATTATCTGGATTTTAATGACTCTCGAAAATCATACCATTTCTTCAAAGGCTGCTAGATATTATTTGTTTTATAAAGATAAAAATAGTTGGGTTTCCTAAACACAGTTTCTCTCCTGGAAAAATTATCCCCTTTCAACTGTGTTTTTCTCTTAGAAAAAAAAATTCATTATTTCAATTATAAATGTCTTTTGATATGCAGTATCTTACTTACATTTTTATGACCTCATTAAGTCCCTTGAAAGCCTGGGATGGGATCACTTTGACAGGGAGATAGGTGAGTGATCTGGAAAAAAGAAAAGACAAAAAGCTCAAGGGTTGGGACTGGCTGCTTTCCAAGTTCATGAACAGTGTGTGTGTGTGTGTGTGTGTGTGTGTACATGCGCACGCATGCATTCACTTGCCACTGTAAGATTAACAACTGGATTCCGGTTTAATCATCTAACTTGTATCAGTAGGTGATTGTGCCAGGGGTCATTCCCGGTCCTTATCAGAATGTGTCACTTGGTGGTGAAGATGACGAATGTTGGGACTGCATCTCCAACAGCCCTTCTACCTGGTGATGCAGCCCAGAGCATGCCATTTAAGCACGCTGCTTCAGTTTCTTCATCAATACAGCTAAATCAATAACAATTCCTGTCCTGTAGGGCTGTTGAGAGATTTCATCAGGATAGCCCCAAATGGGGCATGGCACCAAGTAAATAATTACCAACAGTTCTGAAGCGCCCTGCTTGGTTTGGTTTTGAAGGTGGACAAGAAGCTATTTGGGGTTGTGAGGAAACAAGTAAGGAATGACAACCAGAAACTCTGTGAGTGAGAGAAGGAAAGGTTCACTGGGAATATGTCTCTCTCTCAACCGCCGTGACCTTTTGCAGGCAGCTGATTCCAGCCTCGCAACCGGATCACTTCCTCCTCTGGTTCATTCATCTGTGCATTTCCTGGCATTTGAGGGGGTACCTATGAGAAGTTTTCCTTCAGATACTCAAAGCCACTGGGAGTACCTATGTATTCTCACAGTTGTTTCCAGAGCTGTACAGGATGTAAGCACTGAGAAAAGAGTGACGTCAGCTACGGCAAAACCAGTGCTGAGTGACGTGTGAGTGTCAAAGGAACCTGATGTAAAGATAACGTAGGAGATGCTTCATCAAGTCAAGGAAGATTATTCAACCACTGGTTGGGTATTTGCAATGGCTCCAAGACTTTTGGGCCCAAGGCCATGAAGGATGTAGATCAGGACATTTCCGGTGACGGCACACATGTGAGAGCAGCCTGCTCGCCCACGCATCTGCACAGAAGAAATTACCTTAGCCACCAGGAAAGCTCGCTTCCTCTCTGATTGCAGACTTCAGTCAGCGGGTGACAGAGGGGACTTGCTGCCTTTGTAAATTGCAGCGTGAGTTATGCACGGCAACCTATAACTATTTAATCCGCAGGACAGGAGGATGGTGGGGTGAAATGGGTACTTCCTTTTGACAGCAGAAGAAATTCGGTCACAGAGAGATTGAGTAACTGGACCAGGGCAACAAGCCAGCAGACTGCTTCAGAAGGCCTTTCCTCTGGGCAATACTGCACTGCAGGGGACATTTGAATCCTAACCTTTTCTCAGCTGGGAAGCAAAGCAGCATTACCTTGCTTCTCGTGGAAGAGTGTTCTAGAGCGTTCTACCCTCCCTGTTCCTCTCACAAAGCCATTTCACCAGTGATCCCTTCTTTGGAGATAATGAAGGGGAATTTCAGAAACTTCATTTCTGGAAAATGCTTTCACTCAACGGTTTCTTGGAGACCACGCAGAAGGAGTAATGCAAAGAAGGTTCTCTTGGTCTGTGCTTGAGGACAGTCCCACCAAGAACCCCTGTATGCCTCCCCCGCCCCCCCGTATTATTTAACCAGAGCAGCAGGGACAGCGGAGGGGGAAACCTCCTCACCATGGCATGTTTGCTTCCTATATTTCTCCTGGAATCATGTCTGCTTGGCTTACTGATTAAAAACACAGTTTTATTGCTCTTCGCACTGCCATGCCAATAAATTTCCAAAAGAGAAAGCTGTATTCTACTGTACCCCATGCAACATCAATAAAACTGACAGCCAAATTCCGATTCCAGAATCTTTATGGCTGGGGATAATGCAGCACAGAACATATTTTGGAGAGTGTTTACATAAAAGCTTCAGCTGAACCCTTCAGAGCTGTTTATTCATGCAAATGGAGCTCAACAGCTGAAGCCTCCTCTGGGCAGACAGCCTCCCCTTCCAAATGGGAGCATGCTGTGTGGTTCCCGCAGGAGCAGTTTGGTTTCGATCTGACCGGGGAGGTTGCCTGAGCTCTTGATTGATGGAGGGCTGAGGGATGAGGAGCAAAGGTTGGGCAGGAGTGAGAGTAGCTGTAGATCATGCACTGGCTGTCCCCAGTGCGAGATGAAATTTTGCCGTTGATGGCGATTCTGCAGAGCCAGAGAGGCAGCCGAGATGAGAATAAAGAGTCCCCGACATCAAAAGGACCACTGAGAACAGTGGGCGGCTTTGTGGGTGTGGCTAGGTCAAGAGAGAGGCCTGGGGCCAGAGGATGAGCAGAGAAGTGGAGTGAGGAGGTGCCTGCTGCTTTCACTGATGGAGCAGCATGGAGAACATGGTCCCAGGGCTCCAAAACGGTTTCCCACGGGCACATGTTTTTATTACAAGATGTCACATACTCATCTCTGATTTGTCTTCAATCGACAACAGTTTCTGTGCTGTCAAGTGGCTGTTTTTCATTTCTGAAAGCACCCATTCATGATGTGGCCCATATTTTTATTTTAAATTAAATATTGACACATAGTCACGAGGGGCATTGTGACATTTCATACAGGTCTACAATGCATATTGGGCAGATGAGTGCACCCACCACCTCAGACATGCTGCATTTCTTTGTGTTGGAAATTGGGAAACATTCAAAGGCCCCTCTGCTTGCTGTTTTCAAACAGTCAAAGAATTGTTTACCACAGTTAACCTACTGTGCTGTAGGATGGCGGAGCTCTTCCTCCTCCCCAGCTGTGATTTATAAGTACCATTTGGATGTCCTGCCATTGAGGGTGCTCCCTTTCTGATGGATGCCTCTGGTGGAGTTATACCTCCTACCCAGTTGTGTTTGTTAATATCCATTTGGAAGCCCTCCCTTTGAGGGTGCTCCCTTCCTGATGGATACCTCTGGTGGAGTTATTCCTCCTATCCAGCTGTGATTTGTTAATACCCGTTTGGAAGTCCTCCCTTTGAGGGTGCTCCCTTCTTGATGGAGGCCTTGATTATTCTTTCCATAGTGCCAGGAACTTGTAGCAGTGGGAACAATTGTCTAAATAAGCCCACAATCCTATTCCCATGGGCACTAAATACCTAAAAGTAAAACACATGTGCATACCTCAGGATTGTTACCCACGCTGAGTAAAGAGGAGCAGAAGTCGGAAAGGGGGATTCAAAGATTAGCTAAAATCAGAGACTCGAGTGGCCAATGATCATGTTACCCCAGTGAAGACGCATGCTCACTGAATTCCCTGTACCCAAGAAGCAAAAGGAGAAGAAAATTTTGTGTTTTGATTGGCTATCTTTTCCTTTTCGTCATTCATTTATTTTTTGAAGTTAGACATACTTTCATTAAAAAAAATAATAATAATAATTGTGACTGTCAGGAACCCCTGTGGGAAAATTGATAAATAGCAGAAGCCAGGGAGGAGGGGGAAAGGATGAGGCTAGGACAGCAGCTCTCCAGGGCAGCCTCCAGAAAAGAATGGGTGCTGTGCACACAGCAGGGAAGGCAAAGGAAGGCCCCTCCCTCTTCTGTCTAAAGCAAGTGGATGACACTCCTAACTATACATATCTCCCTAAGGGAGAGGGATGCAGGAGTGGAGACCTGGTGTAGTTTTTTTTTTTTTTTTTTTTTTTTTTTAATTCTTTGGGGGCCCACGACCCAGCTCCCAAATAAATACATGGAGACTTATTCTTACTTATGAATGCCCGTCCTTAGCTTGGCTTTTCTAACTTAAATTATTCCATTTATCTTTAACTAAATTTGCCTCTGGGCCTTTTACCTTTCTTTATTCTGTGCATCTTTCCTTCTTACTGTTAGGATCCTGCTCTTACACTTCCGGGTCTAACATCTTATGTCATCGACGTACCCACTGCGTGGTCACGCAATCTCCGCCCTAAAAAGCCACACATGGACCCCTACGGTCTCTCTGCGCCTCTCTTCCTGTGTTTCCTTTCCACCAGGCCTGGCTCCCTCCTCCTTTCCCTCCATTAAAGCTCTAAAAACTAATATTGGGTTCTGCCGTGGCTGTGACTCTTCCACTGACCAAACAGCGCCGTTTATCCTTTTACTTACTCTGTGGCTGGCTGTGTGGCTGTGTGGCTGTGTGGCTGTGTGGCTGTGTGGCTGTGTGGCTGTGTGGCTGTGTGGCTGTGTGGCTGTGTGGCTGTGTGGCTGTGTGGCTTAATGGAATTATTTTCTCTGAATTTGTCAAATGCAAATGGACTAGACACTGTTTAGGTATTTATTGCTTGTATATATTATATATAGTTATTGTACTTATTGTATATAGTTTTTCTTATATTAGTTATAACCTTTTTCCTTTTTTCTTTTTATTAGAATAGAAGGGGGAAATATGGTGTATTTTATTTGTGCTGAAATGTGACTTTATTTGTATAAGTAAAGTTGCCTGAGGATCAGAGCTAAGAGCAAGCTATTTAGCAGAAGTCTGGCGTTGGTGGCACAAGCCCTTAATCTGATCACATGGCAGGAAGAATCTCTGTGTGTTCAAGGACACAGCCAAGCAGTGACCCGAACCTTTAATCTCAGTACGAACCATAGAGACCTGGAGGTCTGTATTGACAGGCAGTGACGAGGAAGTCATGTGGTTGGGTTTAGAACCAATGAGAAGGCAGAACAGAAAGGCAATAAAAAGACAGGTCACAGGAAGAAGGTCTCTCTCTCAGGGAAAGTACGGCAGTGAGTGGTAAGATAAGGTGGTCTTAGCTCTTGGCTACTGCTTGATCTCTGGGCTTTTAACTCTTTATTTGGCTCTGTGTTTCTTATTTAATAAGACTGTTTAGAATCACATCTACAGTGGCTGGCCCTTGGCATCCTCCTCTCCATCTCCTTTTCTTGCCCCTCCCTCTTCTCTAGATTTCTCCTCTTATTTATTCTCTCTGCCCACCAGCCCCGCATATTTCTCTCTCCTGTCTTGCTATTGGCCATTTAGCTCTTTATTAGCCCAATCAGGTGTTTCAGGCAGGCACAGTAACACAGCTTTAAAGAGTTAAA